CTTGCAAAATAAACTTTTTCCTTTATTTCCTTCTAATTCAGCCTTTTGTCTTTCGTTCATAAATTCATTCGCAAATTCATTAAAACAAGTATTTTTCGTAAATGTTAAAATTGATTGAATGTCATCAATGATAAAATGAAATCTGTCTATTAGATACCAAAGATAATAAGAAGAAAATGGTTGATATTGGTTGTGTGTTGATGCTAACTGAGTTAATTTCCTCTGTTTCTGGTCAACTGGTAAATTGTTTGATTTCATGTAATTATACATAAAACTACCAATTGTTTTTTCATCTGTGATAATATCTAAGTTTCTTATTATTGGTAAAAAGTTAATGTAATCATTAATGTATTTTTCATCAATGTGACCCTTTACTTCAGCCACGAATAAAGTATTTTTCTTCTTAATAATTCCCAGTGCTTTTGCTTTCTTTGTTGCTGTATCACAAATGATAACACCATTCAATCTTCCCGGCATATACATTTTATGGTCAGTATATTGAATGAAATCATGAGGATTAGATGAAAATGATGAAGGATATAATGAATTAAAGTCAACACCAACGAAATGAGTCATAATGTTGGAAGTGTCCTCATTTGATACAGTTTTAGTTTCTGGATTATATGAAAGTTTATTAATGTGCGTGATTCCTTTAAGATTTACTCTATGTTGAACATTTGATAAACCACCAGTAATTCCATTACGGAGAATGTGATAAGCTTCAACTGAATCTAGAGTCATTGGTAAATTATTTTTTAATGTATAATTTCTTAAATTGATTCTTAAACGTTGAATGTCTTCATCTTTGTTTGATTTTACGACATTGCAATAACAACACATTAACTGACAATTTTCTTTAGTATGTGGTTTTTCATTATCGATTCTATCCAATGTTGGTTTATTTGCATATGTAAACGCTTTACCACACATTTTGCATTTAGATGAAAGGATTAAATCGTGATAGTATTGAAAATCATCCATTGAAACATTATTTTTAGTATTCCTTTCTGCTTTTTCATCTTGTTTCTTATATGATTCAATTTTATATTTCCAATACTTTTTCGTTAATTCAAAACTTGATTCCACATTTTCTTCTTCTGGATATTTTTCATTAGGATTAAAGTCTTTATATGCTAAAGCGTAACGAATCATTGAAGCATTCGATGATAAAGAAAGATTATGAAGCATATCAATTTTATAAACAAATGTTTCTTCAATAATTTTATCAATTGGGTCAATCATAATTTCAACATCTTTATTGCAATAATGAATAAAATATTCTAATCTATTCTTAAAGTTTTTAGCATCATTGAGATATATTTGATAATCTGAATCGGATATTGTTTCTTGAGTTAATGCTGAATAAAATGAATCTTGAGTGAATGGTTCCACTTTATATAATTCATCTTCATAATTTTCCCATGTGATGAATTGATAAGGGAAAAAGGATTTAACACGTGATTTATTGTTTCCGAAATCTTGAGTGAATTGGTCTAATGTTCCACCCGCTATATAATTTCTGATGTCAATAAATCTTAATTCATATGGACAGTTTGTTTTCTTTACAATGATTTGCTTAAATTGTGAAGAAGAACCCAGCATTGATTTTATTTTCCATTTTGCAGTGTTTAAATCACGAAGAATTAAATTTAAATCAAACTTTCCCGAATTAAAACCTATGATATTCACTTTATTGAATTCCTCATCTAGAAGTTCTTTAAATGCTTCCTTCTGTTTTTCATTTAATGTCGTTTGGTCCGTTTGCGGCTTCAATAATTCATCGTATTGACTCATATTTGATTTAGCAACTAATGAACAGGTTGAAAATAAAAACTCAATCCAATCAGAAATAAAAGAATCACTTGAAGTTAAGCAAAAATTCCTCGTATATGTTTTATCGCGGTCTACGACCTCGCCGCTTCGGTCTGAAAGACCTTCAGGACTCAAAGAGTCCGTTTGCGGCTTTAATTTAACCGTTGATGATACCATGAATGGTTTTAAGTAAGCGTTCAAAGTTGCACACTCAGAAAGTTGTAATTCTTCTTTAGTCTCTAATGTTTCAAAGTCAAAAGTAATATAATATCTTGTCGGTTTATAATATTTCTGCAAATTATGAGCTAATAACCACTGATATATCTTCTGTTTCGTAATATGTGGTGCATATGGTTGCTGTGTCTTTTGCAACTGAACGTCTTGAATTAATCTTCCATTATTTTCTTTACATTTCTCACAATGCTTTAAAAATCTTCTTTGGTTTTTCCTTTCTGGATCATCACGGATAGAATAAACTTCTTCTTTACAATATGGACAAACTCTATAGCCGGTGAGTGCTTCAACGTCTGTTATTCTGTCAGCGTGAAGTTTTCCACATGGACTCTGTGTTAATAAAATATTTACTGTTTCAAATTCTGGATCTATCATTATTGAATCCACTAATGGAAAGTCTACCTTGTTAATATCTACGTCTTCTGGTTGAGGAACACAATAATAGAAATCAATATTAACGTTTAACATTCTTGCTAATCTCTCACTTTCTGATGAAATGTCAAACCCTTCATATGCATCTATGGCTTCATTTAAATAACTTCTACGAGTTTTAGGATTAACACCATCAGGAATGTTATAGAAGCGTTTAAATAACCTTCTACCTTCGGCTCTTATTTGATTATCATTCATTTTAGCTGTTCCGTTTTTGTTCATTTATGTAAGAATAAAAAATTAAAAAATAAATAAAAATAAAGTTTATTTTTTTTAAAGTCCAGGGCTAAAGTCCATAAAATGAATTAAGGACACATAAATTTTTATCATCTGCGACGTGACGAATACATTTTAATTTACTCAAGAATGCGTACCCTGATACATTAAATCTAATTCCTGTCTTATTTAATTTCACAACTTTGAAAAGGAATGTATGAATAGCTATAAAATGATGAGATGATGTTTTATGGGTTGCTTCCATTTTTTCTGAAATAAATGAATAAATATAATGTTTATAAGTTTTCATATCTTTTATATTCTTAATAACGAATGGTATAGACCTTTCAACTTCGTCTTCCTTCGGTGCTGTTCTTTCATATGAAACATTATTAGTATCTTCAATAATGAAACCACAATCGCATAAAATTTTATATGTACCAATTGTTTCTTTTGATATTTTATCTAACAAATCAAAAACTTTATCAACACCTGCACATTTATTTAAATAATAATTTGTGTAAATATCATGGTCTTCTTTCTTAATCGTATTTGTTGCATATGTTACATTTTTCAGTGCTTTTTTGAATTTTTCAGAATCAAGAGGAGGTGAAAGTAAGATACAAGGGTATTCTTCATTATCAATAAATTGTAACTTATGTTTACGTATAAATTTAGTACCTTCTTCTGAAAGTGTTTCGTCTATTTCACCATCTAATAAATTTTGTGTTGATTCTGAGACATAATTTTTATATCTTTCTTCATGAGATTTCTGAACTTCTGATTCTGAAGCTGGGATATTCATTAAACCCTCTACTTCATTCTCATTATATTTTTCAACTTCTCTTAATTCCTTAATTTTTTCATCTATTTCATCTCTTATTTTTTCCAGTCTTTCAATTTCATCATATTCATCATCTTTAATCCGTTCTTCATAATATTCAGGGAAAACATCAGGTTCTTTAGGTTTTTCTTCTTCAGATGTGGGATATAAGAAATTTATAACATCATCTTTATTCATTTTTCCATCATAATCTAAATCATTTAATAACTCCGCGAATTTTTGACAATTTCTTAAATAATATTTATTAACTTCATAACCCACCTCCTCTAATATATTCATTATTTCCTCGTTTGTGAATCCTAATTTTTTCACGTCGTTAGTTTTGACACTCATTTTCATACGAATTAAAAAAATAAATTATTCAAAAAATGTAAGACATGAATTTTTAAAGTTTATTTTTTAAAAATTTTTTTATTTCATTATGGTAGTTTATTTTTCATTCATGAAAATAATTATATCTGATTTCTTTTACTCTCTCGTATATACTAGATTTAAAGAATTCAGAACATTTCCCATAATCTCCTAAATGTTTTCTTATCCCTAACGTGTGCCAGTTATTATATGAAACTGAATAAACTTTATCTTTATCTTTACACCTTTCATCACTTCCAATATATTTATATCTCAGTTTTGATTTAGTATTTTCATAATCATTAACGTTTAATAATTCACAGTCTTCCTTTTTAAATTGATGTTTAAGATATTCAGGATTTAATACTCTACGTTTATATGCTCCTAACTTAGTTCTAAAGGTTTTTCTACAAAATTTAGGAATTCCATCCTCTTTAATGTCATCAATGATTTCCATTTCATTATTTTCAATTTCTTCTTCTCGTTTATGAGGTCTTTGATTATGACTCCATTGATTCCATGAAATTAAATATTCTTTATCATTATATTTATACCTCATTAGCTTATTTTGGCTTTCATATTCATTTAATAATTCACAATCTTCATTTTTAAATTGAAGTTTAACCCATTCAGGATTTAAACAATGTTTAATTAATCGCGGAATATCTGACATCATCTATATATAGCTTCTTTTATAAAAGATAAAAAAATAAATTATTTTAAAATTAATGTTAATTTTTTAATGATTTATAAATAAATATATTTTAATGCATCGTCTATATATAGTTGTAACAAAAAAAGTCACACAACCCGCACTCATCTACTACTAAATTTTCTCATAAAATTTCGGTAAGATAATAACTGCATTATTGCATTTGCGGTGAGTTCTTTCGATACGTAATCAATCGGAGACTTTGGATAATTTCAATAAAAAAATGAGAATTTGAATTTTCAAACGATAAATTCAATATATCTCAAAAATTATTCATGATTATGGCTACTCATTATAATTTTTGATTTTCGAATTAATAAACGTTATTGTTCTCAAAACTTATTGAGAGATTTTTATTGAATGTACGGGCTCAAAAAACATTGCCGTTTATTAATTTTAATGTCATCGACGTCATACGCGCCAACCCGCGCACGTCAAAAAGTTAATAAATACTCTAAAAATACAAAGTGGTCTAAAGAGGAAGATGAGCTTTTCCAAAAGCTTATGAAGAGTGTTCCTCGTCCAGAATGGGGAGAACTTGTTCCATTTTTCCCAGGAAAGAGTGCTGTACAGATTGAAGAGAGATGGGAAAAGGTTATTAATCCTGATCTCATCAAGGGAAGCTGGACTCCTGAAGAAGATGAAACCATTATCAAATTCGTTAACCAATACGGTGTGAAGAATTGGACTAAACTTGCTGAACTACTTCCTGGAAGAATAGGTAAGCAGTGCCGTGAGAGATGGCGCAATCATCTCAATCCAGAAGTTAACACTTCTCCTTTCACACCAGAAGAGGATGAGTTACTCATAGAATTACATGCCAAAATGGGAAACCAATGGGTTAAAATATCAGAAATAATGAAAGGTCGCAGTGACAACGCTGTGAAGAATCGTTGGAACTCGACTTTGAAGAAAAGATTAGAATATGATAAGACCGGAGCTACAAGACCTAGACGTGGACGTCCAAGTTCTTCAGCTCCTAAGTCAGCTGATGATGTTCCTAAGCCACCTAAATTCGAAGAAATTGTAAAGGAAACAATTAAGGCTGCATCACCAACTCTACCAACTCCGATGATGACACCATCAATAACAGATATTCCATTTAGCTTGAAGAGCCCATTTAGTTCACTTAAATCACCATCAATACTTAGATCACCATTTACTTTGATGTCTCCAAGTATATCACAATGGTCACCTGGTGATTTGGGAACTGGAATACTTTTCTCTCCAAAATTAGCATCTCCATCTCGTGGATTTAATGCTGATTCAATTATGGAGCCATCGGAAGTGAACTTGTTAACACCTATGTTTGAGAAGTAAAATATTTGATTTATCTTGATTGTAAATGTTGTTAATATTGTTTGTGATGTCTGAAAAAAAGAAAAAAAATCTTAATTTATGAAGATAGAATACGCATCTTATATATATTACTTAATAAAAATCAATGAAAATACAGTATTTTTGGACGACACACTTGTTTGTTGTAATAAATTGTCTTCAGCATCGAAATATGAATTTAAATTTTGTAAATATTGATTAAATTTCAATTTTGTGAAATGAAAACTATAGTATAATAAAATTAAATTAGATTCGCCTATTAATATTTATGATAAATCTTCCAAATTTTTTTCAAAATCAAAAAAATAAATGAAATTTTAATAATTTTTTATTTTAATTCGATGGTTTTTACACTCTTTTGGACTCTTATAGATGTGAGATTATTAAATGAATGGAAGTAGAGATGCTATTTATGGTAATTTCTCATACGATAATCAAAATAATTCAATTGGTCAATTTTTGATTATGGGAGTTTGATAAATCATAAGTGAACTATATCCATCATTATTGAGAGAAGCAATAAGGGTTTCGTTTTGCGAAAAGAACGTACAATACGCAATTTCGCTAAAAAAACATTTAGCTAGCAATTTCGACCTTTGACTCCACTCAAGACGTCACTTTTTTAATTTTGCGGTATCATATTTTTGGAAAATCTTTATGAATATTATATAAAAATCTCTTTAATATCTATATTTCATATTTTTATCGATTTTTAAAGTTTTTGCGAAAAGTATTCAATTATTTTTGCTATTTGGTCGGGTAAATGTCAGATTTGCGACATTTTCTGATATGATATTCAGATTCTACGTTGATAATAATGCTTATAGAACCCTCTTGCTATTGTGTCAAAATTGCGAAACCGATAGCAAAAATATCTCGCAATATCAAAATTGAGATATTGAGTGAATTATGCATTATAGAGATTAAAAATCTGATTTGTGAAAACATCTCATCAGTTTCTAGCTAATTCAAAAATCTTTACTATCTTATTCGATTAAAATGAAAAGGGAATAGTTTCATTATGCTTTAAATGACAGCCTTATAATATAATCATAGTTTTCGCTCAATATGCAGCATTTTTTTTTCGAAATCTATGGTCAATATCCTAAATACTGATTGCTTTGCATTCATATCTCTTACATTTTCTATACCCACATCACTATTCATTGCTATTCCTATCTTTTTCATTTTTGTTTGTTTCTTATAATTTCTCAAAAAACATGATAACTTGATATTTGTAAATATCATACTTTATAACGTAAATAAGAACTTGACCTATTAAGAAAAGCAGTAATGAAAAGAAAATCTGAAATTCATAAAAATTACAAGTTTCTGATGACAATTAGCTTAATTAAACCAGGTACAAGATTATATAATTGTATTTTCTATCCAATTATCCATATAATATCTTATCCAGAAAAAATAACTTGATCAATACCAAATGATTTTTTAACTAGTAAATAAAGTATTTTCTTTACACACACATTGTATATCATAGTTTTTTTTTTTTTGGTTTCGCAAAACATCCAAAAACAAATATGCTATAAAAGTGACAATTTTAGCAAAACGAAACCCTTAGAAGCAATCCCCATCGTCCGACCGATGTTTCAAAGGGATCAAAAACCATTCTGACAGCTAAATGATTAGAATTTAAGGTTATAATAAAAAATGACCAAGGAGTCGTCTGTTTTCTTCCCCGAAGAAATGCAGCACGTCCAATTAGTCGTTCCGTACGAAAGTGCGGGCGCCACAATTAGATTGCTTGCTGAAAAGGATTTAATCCATCTAATTGACGAAAATACTGGCAATGACTCAGTAAACAAGCGCTATACTGAGAGCTACATTCACTGCGAAGAAGCAGAAAGATGCCTTAACTTTATCGGCAATCAATTAGAACAATATGATCTTTTGCCACCTCCAATTTCGCTGGCTACCTTCAATGAGCAGGCGCAGAACAGGGATATCTCAGAGAACGAGCTTCGTCAGCAGATTCTCGAAGCCGATACTTCCCTCCACGAGCGTATTACACGTACTCAGCATCTCGAAGTTCAATTACAGACAGCCGAGCACACATTAGCAGCTCTTCGTTTCTACAGACCACTCCTTCAGGAGAGAAGAACAGCTATCCAAGGCGGCGAGGCAGAAACAGATAAATCCTCTGCTTTTGAAATGGAGCTCATCGGAGGCTTGAACTTCCTCTTCTCTATCACAGGTATCATCGATTCAACCAAACTTCGCAGACTTCTCTATACATTCTACCGCATTTCAAGAGGAAATGTCTTTTCTTCATCTGATATTTCATCATTTGATGACAAAAAGTCTTTCTTCACAATTTGGTTCCCAACAGAGTCAATCCTCAGGAAGCTCATGAACATTGCACAGTCGTATGGTGCAGAAGTCTTCGAATTCCCAGCTGAAGATGTAAATCTCGACAAACTCGAAAACGAATTGACAAACCAAATCTACGAAAGCAAGAGTGTCCTCAGACAATCTTATGGAGACAACAAGAACTTCCTTCTTCAGCTTCAACAAACATATTGGTTCAATCGCCTCTTCTACATCCGCGAAAAGCAAATTTACCAATATATCGACTTTGCTGACTTCAAGACCATTGAAGATCGTGCAATTTACAAAGGCTGGATCGCCAAACGCCGCGTTTCCGAAATCCAGCCACTTCTTGATCAAGCACAAGAGATCTCTGGCTGCGCCATCCACACAACAATCGAATTCGATACAGTTCCTGAGAATCCACCAACCTATATCGAAACAAACTCATTTACTTACGCATTCCAGCTCTTCAACGACTCTTACGGTGTTGCCTGCCACAACGAAGTCAATGGCGGCGCTTTCTACTGCATGTACCCATTCCTTTTCGGAATTATGTTCGGAGATATGGGACATTCTCTTCTTTACCTCATTGTCGCTATTACCCTCATCTTAATTTCACCAAAGCTTCGTGATGCCGGTGGCGAAACTAACGATTTGATTCTTAGTTTCAGATGGTTCTTATTATTCATGTCAATTTGCGCTTTCTACTGCGGATTTATCTACAACGAGTGCTTCGGACTTCCGATTGACTTCTTTGGCTCATCGTATGTCCAAGGAACGAAGGAAGGAAAGAAGATCTGGACACAGAAGCCAAACAAGGTCTATCCATTCGGTGTCGACCCAGTTTGGATGTTCAAAGATAACGAACTTACATTTATAAACTCCCTTAAGATGAAACTCGCCATCATTATGGGATTTTGCCAAATGGCCTTTGGCATGGTTCTCCAATTCATCAAGCATTTTCACCGTCGCGACTGGCTCGAACTATGTCTTTCATGGCTCCCGCAAATGCTTTACATGTTCTCATTTTTCGGATACATGGTCTTCATTATTATCTTCAAATGGTGCTCCCACCATACTCCTGGCGAAGAGGGTGTCAACCTTATCCAAGTTTTGATCGGAATGCTCCTTAGTTCCGGCGATAAAATTGATAAAGGATCTGAATCTTACCTTTTCCCACACCAGAAGACAGTACAGAATGCCATTGCCCTTATCTTCATCATCACCATCCCAGTTCTCTTGTTCGCCAAGCCAATTGTCGAAATTGTCTGCCACAAAGGAAAAGCACACGGCGGAGTCATGGAAATCTTCGTTATGAACCTCATCGATGTCATTGAGTTCTGCCTTTCAATGCTTTCACACACAGCTTCTTATCTCCGTCTCTGGGCTCTTTCACTCGCTCACTCTCAACTTTCTCACGTTTTGTACGAGGAAATCTTCATTTTGACACTCAAGATTTACAATCCAGCCGCTTTCTTCTGTGGCTGGGCTGCTTTCGCTGTAGGAACAGTCGTAATTTTGCTTGGTATGGAGTGTTTCTCTTCCCTCCTTCACGCAATTCGTCTCATGTGGGTCGAGTTCTCTTCAAAGTTCTACACAGGTCAGGGATACGAGTTCAAGCCACTCTCTTTCAAGGAGGCTGCTTACAAAGTTGGAAGCAAGTAAAAAAATTTAAATAAGTTTTATTAAACTGATAATGTGATGGCAACTCATCTTATTTTATAACGATCATATCATTGGTTGAGGATATCTAAATCGAGCGATGGAATACAATAAAGATATTGCCAGAATTATATAGAATTATATATTGTAAAATTATGGCTTTAACTTTCGTGTTGCTCATTTTTAAACAAACATTTAATAAGATTTAATATCATTACATATTGTCACATGTTTGCAAACAAATTTGCTGATATTTGAAGATTTACTTCCTAAGAGTAAAGGGGAAATGACAGCATGTCACATATACATTTGCATTGCTACATCAAACGACATACAATAGCATTTTGTTGTTCCAAAAAAAAAATCCTCAACCAACTGTCTTGAGAAAAAAAAGTTCCAATTTCAAATTTAATGCTGCAATCGATTCAGATAACAATAGATCTTACTTTACAGACTTCAACAGAGCTACAGGATCAATTTCCAGCAAGTTTTATAACGCTATACCTGTTATTCCAGTTTCTGGTCGCACTGGAGAAGGAGTTAAAGAGTTTTAGCTAAAATTGATGAATCAAAGAATAAACCAAGAATGGAACCAATCCATGATAAGGAGAAAACCAAAGAATAGAGTTTTATAAATAAAAACTTATAGAATATTTATATTATTTAAAAATACACTTTTTACATGAGAATAAAACAAAAACAATGTTTCAAAATCCGACATTTGTAATGTTTCAAAATCTAACATTTGTAAAGTTTTAAAATCTAAAAGTAGTAAAGTGGAGAGCATTTTGTCATTCCGGGAGACATGCAAAGCAAATTGGTTCGTAATTGCAAAGAAATGGTTTAAGTTCTCTCATACTATGCACATATCAATGAAAAAAAGAGAACGTGGACAGATAGCTCTTGATATTGTATATCTGAATTTCTTAAAGATCATGTTTTAAAAAATCAATTTTAAGTTCAATGGGACGCATGTTAAGGGTGCACTTATTCCCCTATGACGTTTCACGCCAATTGTCAAAAATTTGAATTAAGGGTGCCGGAAAGTGAAGTGAAAGCTATTATAAAAATAACACTTTTCAAACCCATAAAATCATTTTTATTTTGTTTTGTTTATATGAGTATAAACCTTAAGTGATGATGTATCATAGTATCATATTCAAACTAAGTGAAAACGATGTTTATGATTATAAGATCATCGAAAACATACAAAAATCATACAAAATTTTTAAAATCTGGAAGGGAAAAAGTTCATTTATCTCAACATATGAGAATTGAAAATAAACTTTGTTCTGTAAAACTTTTAGTATAACTATTGAAATTTTGTGTTTAATGTATCTCACTGGCTTAAACACAATATTGGAGGACTAGATACAAATCTAATTAAACTTTGAATGAGACCATTTCGACTGGAAACCACTACCATTGAGTTTGTTCCATAATGGTAATTAGCAGAATCCAGTGAGATTGTAGTGCAATCGATCTTAGTTTTGAAGTTACCCACTAATTGCATCTCGACACTTTTTAACAAATGCCAAATGTTTTCTATAAAATATCTAGTATCTTGTACCTAGATATCATTCCTGCAGTATCAGCCCCTGCCATGGAATAACCAGGGACTAGATAGGTCCGCAAGTTCGAAAATTGCGAAGCAGTTTTCTTCATACTGGAAGTATCCAAGACCTCAACATCAAAGAAATAAAAACCTTAGTATATACCCTACTAATATATGTTTTAATATCATTAAATTCTCAAAACTACAAAATGAAACATTTACAATTGTATCAGCAAAATCATAATAAAAACCAATTTTTCGAGAAGAAATACAGTTAGAAATATTTGTTTTTGAAAGAGATCCAACACCAAATTTGTGGTAAATCATTGCATCTACTGAACTATTTCCTCCATTATAAATTGAGCCTTGGAGGATTAGACTGTTGATATCTCCCCTCAAATAAACAAATTGGCCATCTGAAGAAGTTTTGCTCCCAAATGAACAGAATTTATCAATAACAATGTCATTCCTATTAGGACTTCCAACATATATTGCGCCTGGACCTTGCGAAAAAACGTTTTCGCAAAGTAAAATCGAGTAATCTGTATCTTTGAACTTGATTGCTCTATCTTGAAGGCCGATGAACTTACAGATGTAAGCAAAGCACCTTTTATCTGTTGCAGTGACATTTTTGTTCTCACCTGAAATGACTTCAGATGGTGGGCTAATTTCTTCATAATAATGAAGCCAAACACTATTTGGATCTTCTTCTCTATGAGTATTCCTCCATAAAGCAATTAATTTGGGAGGAGTAATGAATAAAAACTCATTAAATTTTAAAAATATGGGGTGTAACACCAATTATCGGAACACCTAGTTTTGAATGTAATAGTTTCCATTTATGAATAATCTCATTATATACCAGCTGTGTAACCAATGCCTATCAAAAATTCAACTATGACAAAACTTACTTGAAATTGTGAGATTTGGCAAAAATTAGAAAAATTGACGATGCGATTATTTGGTCGAATAGAAACCTTAAAATTTTAATCATATCTATTATAGGAAGATAATTTGAAGCCAAATAAATATTGGACGCCTTGGAATAGCAATGACAATAAACAAGTCGTCCAGCATTTCGAAGTTAATTAACTTACATTTTATTTAAAAATATTTGATTTTTGCTAATTTTTTTCGCAGTAACCTATTGTTTTAGACAACAAGGAATTGGTATTCCGACTTAGTACCTATATATCTGGATTTAAGCCTCTCCCTCTAGTACACGTATGCTTAACGTCATTAAAAATTGAGAGGGCGTTATATCCAGTTTGTTCCAAAATAACGGGTTTGAAGACTCACTGTATATAGTGCATCTATCGGCGCGCAGCAAAGCTGCGCGCCGATATAAGTTGAAAAAAAAGATCCAATCACAAATTTTCAAATATATCATCTAAATTCTTGTTTCCCGTTCGTGATCATAAATTTCATTTTTCCTAAATACAGTGCTACCCGTCCTTATCGTTTTATAAAAAAATTAATGAGTGAAGCGGTTTAATAAACAAATTATTCAATTTTTTTTTGATTCGAATGCTTAACTTTCTTGTTTTTCCTCGTCTTTCCCGCTCCCTTATAGAGCGTGGAATCTGTAAAGTTAACATTGACGGCAACCAATGGGATTTTAACCCAGCTTTTGCTAACCAAACATATGAATTCGAAGATACACAAAAGAATTACAAATATTTCTTCAAGCCATGTGATGCCCTCGACAAGAACGATCTTCCACGTGGTGCCGATGTCGAAATTCGCGGTGCTAACATGATGCGTCTTAATGAGAACACAAACACCTGGGAATACACAAATTATCTTTCAGAATTTGACTGGTCACCCAAGCAATTAGTTATCAGCTACAACGCCGACGGCCAGATGTTCCCATCCTTTGGAGATTATTTTGCAGTTGACGTTGAGATTGACTTAAGCTGTAATTCAGATGTTACAGATCCAAAGCCAAGCATGGTAAGATCCATCAATTACTACGGCAATCGTACAGAGATCAGATTTATGGGTGAACACACTGCTGGCTGTTCCACTCCAGTAAATCCACCAACACCAACACCAGAATTCCACAAAGTCTGCGAGTTCGTCTCTAGAATGGATGGCGATCCAAACAGAGGCATTGACGCCCACTTTGACGATATTACTTCTGGTCCTTTCGGTCTTCGCTCTACAGTTCAATACAGTGGCAAAGAAATGGCCCTCCATCTCAAGCTTTGCGACAGAATGCTCTGCCCACCACCTTATCTCTGCGAACCAAAGAATTCATTTTCAAATGTCTGGATCTGCCCATTAGATCCAGGAGAGGATAGGTGCAAATCATTCGGTGTCTCCAGAACTGATATTAATCCAGCATCTCTTCCTCAGGGAGGCGAAGCTTTCGGTTTTGAGTTAGATTATTTCGATCCAGCCACAAACTTATCTACAAAAGTATCCGTATCATCACCAGATGACGAATACCCAGATGGATACATGAATATCGATACGAATATCTTCTTAGATGATACAGGTGTCAGAATCAAGGCCAAATCCCACGAAGCTGACGTTGTCAACATCCCTATTCCACCAATTCCATCCGATAAATGCGCCATGCATTACGATAACTACGGACAATCCCTTGATCTCAACCTTACAACCCTCAATCCAGCAGCAATCACCGATTTCTACAAGTGGAACGTCACAGTACAAGGCGTACATAAGCCAATGATGCTCTACTACCGTCCTTGCGGTCCAATTGCCTGCCCAACAGGCCACGACTGCAACGGCGTTGAAGATGCAACAGTCTTCCTCTGCCTCGACCAAAAGTGCCGCGCTTACGGTGAATTTGATGAAAATATCAACTTTACATTGGTCGATGTTAAAGATCTCGCCAACGGTGTTGTTTCTGAGTATTTCGGTTTCCAGAAGAAGGCCCAAGCCACATATACTTGCGATGCAAACCTCAACCCACAGGAAATTGAGATTAATTCAACAAGACTCGATTTAGACGGCACAACCCTCAAATTCACTGTTAGAGCCAAGGCAGCATGCGCATCTGGCAATCCACCACAGCCATTCGTTGTTCCAAGGCCTCCAGAGTTCCCAACTCCACCAACTCCGATGAGATCTCCAAATCCACACAATATCATCCACAATACAACACACTACGTCTCTTTCAACCTCGATGACTTCAAATCCGAATTATCCCACATGAATACTAAGATCAGATCGAAAGATGGAAGTTACGCCGATGTACACTTCGAATTCTCTCCATGGAAGCAGCTTACATGCCCATTAGATCAGGGCACCTGCAGAAAGGAGTATCCAAACAACGCAAACGCTTTCTTATGCTTCGACGGTTCTTCTGCTAACAGATTCTGCTATCCATACGGTGATATCAACTACGATCAGTACATTGAGAAGGCCGGCTTGAACATTGATGACGGTGTCCTCTTGAAATACAACTCATACCTCAATGTCCAGACAGTTTTCAAGATTTACTGCGATCCAGATGACGACTACGATAAGTTGATCGTTCCTACAGGCCAGGAAATCCAACTCGAATCAACACAGGCCGACCAAATAATTTATCTTAAAGCGAAATCTAACAATGCCTGCCCAGTAGCATTCGGAAAGCCAACACTTCCAAAGACACCAAATCCAACACCAGTCCCACAGCCTATTGACCCATCAAAGTTCCGTTTCACCTCTAAAGTTATTAATGGATACTACATTGACCTTGATTTGTCACAGATACCAGCCCACAAGGAAGAGATCGTCATGGGAACATCGCTTGACTTCGAACGCGCTACAATTCAGCTTGATTTCGATTTGGCCAGAGATTGTGGTCAATCCGCAACAAAGACATGCTTAGGTGGTGGTCAAACATTCATCTGGAAGTGCGTTGACATCGACGATCATGATTATTGCTACGGTATTGGTGATCCAAGACAAAAATTGTCGATTCAGTTAACATCTGATGACTTAATTGACGGTGTAACAGCTGTTTATGGTGGTGGCTATGCAGGCTATACAACAGCCATTCAATTCTTGTGTAATGAGTCAGTTCCATATCCAAGAATTGACCTTGATGACATTGCATACGAATCTAACATGTTCAGAGTTACCCTCTATGCCCATACAAACGCTGCCTGCCCTAAGAAGTACGTTGGACCAACTTCACAGCCAACATCACAGCCATATCCACCAACAAGTGGACCAACTTCACAGCCAACATCACAGCCATATCCACACACACCAACAGCAACACCACAGCCAGGTCCAACCCCAATAGTTAAGGGAATCTCAGGAGGGGCTGTTTTCCTCTCAATTGTCTTCTTGCCACTCTTCGCTTACATCATTTTGGGTGTCCTCATCAACGGATTCATCTTCGGCAAGTTCGAGCTTCCATTCCTCGGCTTCTGGGAAGGGTTCTATCAGAACTTTATAACAGGTGCTATTTTCGTTTTCACTTTCGGCCACCCGAACTGGTGCGGCGCACAAGGAGGATATGACACAATATAAAATTATATTCTAACTTTAAAAATATTTCATTTTTTTTCTCTTTTAAAATTATTTCATATTTTATTTAAACTATAACTAAATATATGTTAAATTTTATTTATTAATTATAGTTATGCATTGAAAATTTGAACAATGAATTAATTTTTTACGTGAAAAATATTGTTTTCATAATTTTATTAATAGAACCAGTATGAGATATGGTAGTATTAATGATTTATTATATAAATATATAGATTTATTTAATATTGTTTGCAAATTTGATTTTTGAAAATCGCTCATTGAGTATTTTGATTTCTTGTTTGTTCCTTCAGCTTTCCCACTTCCTATAATACTTATTGGTATGTTATTATGAGGTTAGTTTTGAGACGATATTTTTCCTTCTTTTCAATACATGCTACTTTTAGAATATCATCTTTTCCACATTGTAAATTCTTCAGAATAAACATGGAAATAATTGTTTGAAGGTTCTATTCAAAAAAATACACGCTCGAAGTTCTCAATTTTTCCTTACTGTTTCATTGTGACCATTACCTTTAAATCAGAAATATATTATTGACTGTATCTGAAAATTGTTACAAGTACCTTTTAAAATTCATTACAAAATATTATCATTATATGTGTCTAGTAAGCTATAATATATCAGATTTTATCAATTATTTGTTAATCTAATCTTATGCATTTTAAAATTTTCAGGGTAATTTTTGAGAAGACGAAAGTTTTGAATGAATAACCGCAATCATATAGAATATGTTCGGCATATTCATTTAGTTTCCCTTTGTAAGAGTGTAATTTATTAAAGAAAAGTATAATTTCAATGTAGTCAATTTTGTTTTGAATATTTTTTCAAAAATATTTTCATGACAAACTTCATCTCCAAGATGAAAGAGCAAAAAGAAAATGAATATAGGGAATATATCAAAGAACATGTTAATAATGTCATAACAGTTTTCAACAAACTAAAAGAGCTTAACTTAATTCCAAACGAAATTATTGATCAGCTTGAAATCAATGTACATAAACATGACGAATCCAAATATTCTCCCGAAGAATTTGACGCTTATAGAAGAAGATTCTTTCCAGTGAACGAGGCAGAAAAAAAAGCATCCTTCTACGACTTTAATTTAGCGTGGGAACATCATAAAAAATGCAATCCTCATCATTCTGAATCACCAATGTGGTATGATGAGCGCACCAAAACAGCAAAACCAATGGATCCTTTATACGCTTTCGAATTAATATGTGATTGGCAAGCTATGTCTATCAAATTTAACAATAGATGCATTGACTTTTACCATAAATATCCAAAATATAAACTTCATCAAGATACAAGAAATCTTATTGAACCAATTATAATGAAACTTGATTCTGTTTTTTAATATAAAAATATTAGACTTTACTATGCTAATTTTTACTAGTATACCCATATGAACTATGTGCAAATTTCATTTCAAAATTTATCAAACTTATTTTTTAGTGCTCATAGAATGAGTAGAATCAGATTTATCTATAGTCATTAATGATATGCGTCTGTGACTATTCTGACACATATCTAATTAATGGAAAGTTTTTCCAATGATTCGCCTTTTGTATCAATCAAAATATAATGCAGTGCAAATTTAGAAAGCATATCACCAATACTGATATAATTCTGGGGGACATTATTTGATTTATGACGAAAAAGAAAAAACTAAGTTCTAAGTCAGATGATTAAGGAGATATACATCGTAGAAACTTTTTGCTACTTGTTGTGAGCTAGAGGAATTGAAACTCCATGTGAATGAGAAAAATCATCTCTTTTCTTGATTAAATCAGCATTTTCAATGTTGACATAATGAGTCATATTGTTTTGTACTAAAAAGGAGTTAAACTAAATTTCATTTTCGTTTCGAAATTATTTTTTTTTTCTTCATAAAAATATGTCGTTTCGCGATCTCGAAGTTTTCGAGGCAATTAGGCGCGACGACCTTGCTTACATTTTGGCATGTAGGCCTGAGAAGCCATTGGCTGGCCTTTTACCAGAAGATGCACATCCAATGCTTCTCAATGACCCATCTCCATTGATGGTTTCTGCTTTTTTCGGGGCAACTAAATGTTTTAAGTACTTCTTGCCAAGGATTTCGATTGATTATAAAGATGCTTGCGTTCTTCATTTATTTTTAAGAGACACTGCTTACATTTTGCCGCTGCTGGTGGAAATCTTTCGTTATTTAATTACTTTAATTATGGTTCTCAAACAACAGAACTCTTCGATGATGATGACAATACTCCATTGCACATAGCTGCTAAATTCGATCGAGTTGCGATTGTAAGATCAATCTGCTCAATGGGTTGCAACGTAACTCAGCACAACAAAAACGGGTGGACAGCTGGACACTTCGCTGCTTCAGTTGGCTCACTTCAAATTCTTCAAGCTTTACACGAATGTGGTGATCCACTCAACCAAAGAAATGGTGCTGCATGGACACCACTTCATTACGCCATGAAATACGGCCATCGTCAATGTGTTGACTATCTAGTAAGAATTAAGGCCTTTGTATTTGACCAATACGATTCTTTTGCATCTCTCATTCATATGGCTGCAATTTCTAACTTTACAAACGCTGTTCAGGCCATTCTTGACCGTGGACATGGCTACGATACTGTTACCCATAATAATTGGGACTTTTTACTTTTTGCTGCTGCAAATGGCGGAGCAGACTTACTTCGCATCATTCATTCTATGATATCTCATGATAAATTCCTTACTACGGACTCACAAGGTCGTACATTATTCCATGTTGCCGCTATTAATTTCCGATTAAATGTTATTACAACATTAGTTGACCTTGGACTCACAAATATATCAGAAGTCGATAGGTTCAACAAGACTCCACTACATTACGCAGCTGAATACGGCTATCCGGCCATAGTTGATTATCTATCTTCTCGAATTGACATAAATGCACGCGATTACCTCGGCAAAACAGCTCTTCATTATGCTGCAGCCAACAAATACTTCGAAGTTGTCAATCTTCTCGCTTCAAATCCAAAGATTCAGCTTGATTTACTTGACAATCGTCAAAAAACAGCTATTATGTGTGCATGCGAAGGTGGCAGCGTCAGATGTGTTGATTTCCTCATCCATAAAGGTGCAAATACATCAATACCAGCTGCAAACGGCCTTACTTTGCCAATTGTCGCTGTAATGAAAGATAATTACGAACTTTTACAGTTACTTGGCAAATATTTGAACAAAAACGACCTCAGCTCATGCGATAACCGTGGTTGCAATGCAGCACATTACGCTGCACAGCTTGGATTAACGAAATTCCTCGAATACATGTCCGAAAAAGTTCCTGACACGATATTCAAAGCCAACCACAAAGGCCGCAATCCACTGGCTGTTGCAGCAAGCTGGGGAAAGACAGATTCACTTGATTTCTTCTTCAAAGTCAAAGGAATTGATCTCTGCTCGCCAGATAATGAAGAAAACACTCCACTTCACCTGGCCATTTATGGCGGACATCATGAATTTGCGAAAGCTCTTTTAAGAACAAAAGAAGTTGAAATCAATGCTCAAAACGATGCTGGCGAAACTCCATTGATGTTAGCCATTGTTAACTGGCTTCGCGATGTCATTTCGGACATTTTCTCAACATCGGAATGGGATCCAAATCTTGCGGACAATTACGGACGAACAGCATTGATGTTGGCTGCAAAAGAAGGCCAAGCAGATGTTGTTCAAGTCATTTTATCCAATCCAAGAATCGATCCATCAGTTACTGACAACGACGGATGGGGTCCACAACACTTTGCAGCTTTTCTGAGAACACCTGAAGTCATGAAGATATTGGAGTCCAAACTCAAACTCGATATCATTACTAAGAAAGGTTTGAGACCAATTGATATCGCAAGGAACAATGATAATTCCGAAATTGTTGAATACATCGCAAGAAAACAAGATGAAATGATGCCGAGAAGAAGAAACGCCCAACAAAACACAGTACATCAGACTGTTAGTTTGGGAACAATCGCAAGGACTTCTTCTGGATCATTACATCCTCCTGACTTGCGAAAACCTCAACAAATCACTCCTCCTCAACATCAACAAATAAGAATAGAAAGTAATAATGATTACGATGATGAGGAAGAAGAAGATTTCGCTGGCGAAGAAGAGGAATACTTTGAAATTGAAAATGGAGCTGAATACGGAGATGATGATTACGAATTTAGAAAGGCTGAGATGGAAGCAATGGGTTATGACCAAAATGATGCTAAAAATTTTGAAGAAGAGGAAGATTTAGAATATGAGGAAAATAAAAATGAAAAAGAAGAAAAATATAACCATCAGATTGTACATTTAGGTAATTCTGATGATGATGTTGACGATGATGACGAATTTGATGATGATTAAAATTTAATATAAATTTTTTTATTAAAATAACATATATTTCATAAAACTTTTCTATACTATTTACATTTTTATTAATATATATGGACTGAGATACAAAATAATTTTTTATTCCGACTTCTTTTAATTGTATTTTATGAATCAAGGCCATTTAGAATAAACGATAAATAACTTTTAGGATAATTTTAACTATATATATGATTGTTAATTGCTGAGAACAATAAACATCGTAAAAATTATACATTTTAACCCCAAAAATGGTTCCTTGGCTCTGAAAATGGGGACAAGAGTTTACATATCATATAATTTCTTTAATTATCTGCGGCATATTGCATATTTAAATGCTGATTTCTTCAATAAGAAAAATCAACAAATGTTTTTTTTTTCTCCAAATTGGGATTCGCACATATAATTTTCCCTCTTACTTGAGTTTAATTTAGATCAAACTTTGCAAATATAAATCCATCACATTTTATTTTTTGACAGAATAATTTCAATGCTTTCGATGATATTTGGGAAAAAATGCCAAAATTTATCATAAAAATGACAGATTCCCAAGAAAATCCGCCTCCTGAGGGAACTAGTCAAAGTGATATAGATGCATTGATTGAGAGTTGCATAAATAATATAACGAAACAGAAAATCGCTTCGGCACTCGATGACATAAAGAAAGCAAATGAAATAGCTAATAATAATCCAGAATTACTTCCGAAAATCCTCGCTAAACACGTACTCGCATTCCACCTTAACGAAACCTCTAACTCAAAGTTCTTCAAAGAATTTAAACAACAATATGATAAAGTTCAAAACTTCGATGACGTGTTCAAAAACGCTCTTCCTATAATGTTTGACGATCTACAGCCAATATATAGCAAAATCCTCAGGTTTATTAAACCTAACTTTTTCTCAGATGTTGGAATTTTTCCATTTATAAATCAGAAGATGGCGGGTAACGATGAAATATCTTATAATACAGTAGAGTTAATAATTTCAATTTTTGGAGCTACCAAATCCAACCTTTCTCGTTCAATCAAGTCCGATTTCGCAAGTGCTGCTTTGAATCGAATGATTTCATTCGCTGAAAGTCATTTTAATGAGAAATTACGTGAAATAGACGAAAATAAAATGCGTTCTGATATAGATACAATCAAAGATTTCTTATCTTCAAGCGACAACAAGAAATTACAGCAGTTCGAAAAGACACTTACATTCAAATTCGCTACATCTGGCATTCTCAGCAAGAAATTCGATGCTTTACAAAGGTTTAATCAAAATAAATCTTTTTCAAAGGATTTAGTAGCAGAAATCAATTCAGCAGGCATAGTTTCTAACATGATGTACCAAATGCACCACGATTTAGCTGCTCCTTTCGTTAAATTTTTATTAAAATTATGGGATGCCGGCGCATACGATGTTAAAGTACTTTCCGACTTCTGGCAGATCTCCATTGACTCATTACAAAGTGTTATCTCTAAGTTCTTTGCTGTTTGGCCTCAAATCTTTAATAATCTTCCTCGTGGCAAAGCCAACGACTTCTGGGACATTGTTTTATCCTCTAAATCATATCCAGAAGCATGTCTTGCCTTCCTTGAGAAGATTGCTTCGAAAGCAGATGACAATACGAGATCCAAAATGGTAGATTCGCTTTGGAACGCTTCCAGCAACGACAGACTCACATACGTCAATTGTTTGACAAGTTACGTCCAAGGATCAAACAATTCCGTGAAGAAAATGGTCGATCTTTGCTTCAGTTTGATTTCAGAAAACAAAGATGTCACTTTTGCATTAAAAATGTTGACAAAAATCTGGACATCAAAAGTATCCGATAATGTCCAGAAAGATCTCGATCTCGTACTCGAAAAGACCAATTTAGAACAAGGAATAATTAGTCCTTTCGTTTCTTGTGTTGTCACTTTTTGTAAATCATTGAATGATCCATTTACAGAGAAAGAACTGGAGATGATCAAAAGGCAGCTTAAGTTCATTTACGAGCAGAACTTAGATGCATTCATTGCTTTCTTTAAATCGATCGTTCCCCAGCAGAAAGGAAAAATCATTCCTAAAAACAACGTTGGAGATATTTTGAATTGGATGTCAAAACTTCCTGAAATTGAAAACAAAGCTTTTCAAATCGTCACTTTTATATTTGAAACTGCCAATGGCATTGAATCTAATGATTTGAGTTCATTAGATTTAATAGGAATGGATGCGATGTGGGAGATCTTCTTCAGAGCGAAACATCACTCTGTTTCTGATTACATGGTTGATTTGGTAATTAGATGCACAAAAAGTGACAGCGTTGTCACGTTTGTTAATAAATGTGTTTCCAAAGGATTTGGAAAGAGCACTATGCTTGCTTTGACACATTTAATACGTAAAATTGAAGATGGAATCGACAGAGAAAGTTTGGGAATCAAAAGAAACTTATATAACCAATTTACACGTCGAACCGCCAAAAAAGACGATAGCACCAAATTCAAGAAAGAAGAGTTACCAAGCCAGATCTTGAAGACACCTGACAATGCCAAGAAACTCTTCGAAATTCTCGATTCCGATGATAAAGAATTGGCCGCTTCTGCTTTGTCACTTTTGAACTTGATGGAGACACATTCAATGGAATTAAGTATTTGGAAAGAAGAAAAAATAGATTGGTCAGTAGTTTTCTCTATGGAAAAACCGTTTAGATTATTCTATCGTCTTAATACTTTTGGAAATATTTTGGCAGAAAATTCAAAGTCGTTTATTGTCAAAATTTTCAATACTGGCGGTTACAAGAAATTAATGGAGATTATGCAAAACGGCGGCCATCAGTTCTTCAGTGATGAAAAGTACTTGATGCTGTTTTTGTCCATTGTTACTTCTTTGATTTTGAGATGTGCAACAGTCGAAGAAACAGAAAATCTCAAAAAAGAAGTTTACAAAACCGTCGGAATTGAGAATTTGACAAATAACATTTGTCAATGGATTTTGGAATTGAATGACCACAAATCCTTCAAGATCATTCCATCAATGCTTGCTGTTTTGAGAGATATTGTTCAAGGAGAAAGTGACAACTTTTTGAAGAACGAAAAATTCTCAAATTTCTTCAGAACAATGATGTTATCCAAAGAAGAAAACATTTCAAAGGGAATGGCAAATATCATGTTGGATATTCCGGCAGAAAAAATTGAACCAATCGTTATTAATGAAATAAATTTGTCAAAACATGGAAATTGTACTTATTATTATAACGTACTTGAAAAAGTGACAAGAACAACCTCCAACATTGATGGTATTTGGAAGATATTAGTTGAAACACTGTTCAACGGCTTATTCACAAAAAGTAATAAGAAATATGACTTCACAAACCTTAAACAAGAAGATTTTGAAGATCCTGGCAAAGAATACACCGGAAATGATGAAAATATTCTTAAATTAAGGAATTTGCACAGAAGAAAATTCACAAATTCTGAGTTACTCAAAGGTTTGGAAGACACAATTTCTGTTGTAGCAGATATCTCTTTCATTTACGGTATTTATAACTGTTTATTTAGATTGTCAAAACGGTTTGACGATAAAGAAAAAGTGCCACTTGCAAAAGACCTTATTAACTTTTCTTTGGACAGAGTATGTTTGAATCCTTTCAGATACGTTCCATCACCACCTTCTCTTTTTGACTTAATTGTTGTTTTGATAAAGAAAGACAAAAAATATTTGACTTCTACACTTGAAAAAGTCAATAAAATGATTGTCAGTTACGACATAAGTAAAGAGAAGCAAAGGTACCTCAACAGATTGTGCGAGAATGTCAATGTTCGTGGTTTAAATAACATGGGATGCACTTGTTATTTGAACTCAAGTTTGCAACAAATTTTCAGAATAAGTGAAGTGAGAAATGAAGTGATGAAATATCTTCCAAAGGACGAAATTGATACAGACTGGCTCTGCCAACTCCAGCTTTTGTTTGCAAAGCTTCTCTATTTCCCACAAGAAGCAATTGACGCGTCCAGTTTCGTCAAAAACTTCAAGATTTTGAAGAAACCAATTAATCCAATGGAACAAATGGATGCACAAGAATTTATCGCATGCTTATTGGATAAAATTGATGAAAGTCTTGAAGAAAAGCCTGTCACGAAATACGTAACAGGACACATACAACACGACACTATTTCCACAATGGCAAACAAACCTTGGCATGGCTCAACAATTGAGAAATTCACAACTTTGACATTTGACATTTTAGAACAAAAAGATGTTGAAGACTCCTTAAAGACTTTCATGATTCCTGATGTATTTAGTGGTGATAATGGATATAGAACAGATGACATCGGCGTTATTGATGCAGAAAGATATCATTCCATCTGCAAATCACCGAAATATTTGATCATCCAGTTGAAAAGATTCGAATTCGATTTCCAGACATTAACGAAGAAGAAAATTAACTCTAAATACAAATTCCCACTAAAAATGGATATTTCTCCTTTATTAACTGAATCAAAGGAATCTCTTGATACCCATTTATACTATAATCTCCAAGGAATCATCATTCATTCAGGAAGTGCAAATGGTGGTCATTATTACTCATTTTGCAAGAAAAACAATTTGATTTCTGAAGATCAAAAAGATTCAGTAGATCAAAAAGATTCAGTAGATGATGATTTGAGTGATAGTGATGATAGTGAATCCGATGAAGATTGGATAGAATGCAATGATTCAACAATCCATGATATTACACAACAATTTGCTCTTGAAAATTCTTACGGCGGAACAAGTTCTGTTTCTAAAAATGAAAGATGTGATTCCGCTTATATGTTGGTTTACAAATTAAGTGATTCCACAGAAACAGAAGACGAAACAGAACCAATTTGTTTGATGCCAGCAGTCATGGTTGATAACTTCATCCAACAGAATATGAGCACTGTTTTAAGAAACATCATTTTCACTGATTCTTTCATGAAATTCACAAATGATTTGGTTCAGTTTAATACTCTTAATTCTGACATTTTACTTTACAATTTACTTGACAAATGTTCAAGTTCATGGTCAGGTGAAAGGTATTTACAAGGAATGTCGAATTTCCTGTGCCAAAGAATCAATAATTCTCCTGAATTTGCGAAATACGCCATGAAAAGAGTGATAGAAATCCATCTTTTCATGTCTTTGGTTTCTCAAAACGTAAATACAAGATATACATCGGCAAATGTTGCTTCTTCTGTTATAAACACATTAAAGAAAGAAGCGAAACCTGTTGTTGACGAAATTCTAAGAAGATTCGAAACAGTTTTCGAATATTGGAAAAATTTCGATCAGTTCTTTTTGCCTTTGTTAACTTACGTCAATATGGAAATAGATGATTACGACGAAATCATCGAAAAAACATATAAATTACTTGACGTAACGTTCCATGAAAAATTCCAGCCGAAAGATATGGAATCTGTCTTGAATGAGATCAATTTGAGTTGTTTATTCAAGATATTAAAGATCTCGATCACGAAAGGAAAGAAACTAGAAAAATACGAAGAGAAAATCCTCAAAAACGAGAGATTTATGAATACTTGGTTTTCTTGTCAAAATTCCGTTTTTGATTTCGCAAATTTAGTTTGTTTATTCATGAAAGACAATAAAGAACAGACGCAAAACTATTTCGAAATCATAAACAAATCAAAGGACAAGATACAAACCATTTCCTTGGCTTCGCACATCGCAAACGCTTTGAGTTTCGAGGATTCTTTAACAAATGAAAGAGTTGATTTCTTCTTCAAATTGCTCGACGATAAAAATTTTGACAGTTTGACATTGACACAAATTTATCGAATCATCAACATGAGATTGAACCAGAACAGAGGCTGTGCTCTAAAGAGTCTCATGAGAGTCAGAGCCAAATGGTTGGATGAGAATTTAAAGAGCATGGACACGAGATTGAGACAAAACATTGTTGTTTTGGTTAAAAACCTTTTCACGTCTGTTCCTATTTGGCAACAGAAAGATCAGAACGCTTACGTGTATTACCCACCAGATAACACTACATCCAATCCAAATGATGAAGAGAAATCTTATTTGGAACAATTATTTGACAGTTTGTCAGATTTGACACCAAAAATGGAACCGTTTTACAAACAAACTGCCAAAAATATGACACACGATAGAGTGTTCACATGTCAATCCACAGAGTTCTATGACTTATTTGGATGGGTTGTTTATTCCGGAAATCTTCAGAAGAAGGTCAATGAAAAGCGAGATTCATTCCTTAATTCAATCAAAGTTCTGATGAAATTAGATTTGAGATCGAACGCAATGGACATTGTCAGATTTATTTCGATAATTTCGAAAGAAAACAAAGAGTTTTTCACACCGAAATTCTTCGAAAAACTCATCTCTCTTCTCGACAAACTACCTGAACCTTCAATTGATTACGTGTCCATTCTAACACGCGAGTTATTCCCAACAATCATTCCTTTCTCCGCTGAAAACTACAATGTCATTTTGAAGTCGAAGATGTTCAGCGAATCATTGGAATATTGTTTATCTGGTAAATACGGAAACTCACAGAATGTTACTAGTTTAGTTGAAGAACTCCTTAAAGAAGAGAAAACAATTGAACCTCTTTCTAAAATGATATTTAATGGAACAATATTTAAATATCATTTTAAAGCGAAATCAACAAAATTCATTCAAATCGCAAAATTGCTGTTTTTGAAGGGAACAATTCCAGTTGAATATTTCTACAAAGAAAAACTCCATGAGCTTGTTTTCACTGATTTATCTTATAACGTCAGTGACATGAAGAAATCGCATAAAGCAAATCAAGATTTCTATTTTTACGTCGACATTTTAACAGCGTTCAACAGAGCTTTCAGTTCATTTAGACCTTCTAAGTCCGTTTTTAATGATCCAGAAGAGAAATTGAGTAATTTCTACATCTCCCAGAAAGATACATTCTTCATCATGTCAAATGAAATCCAAGGATCGACAGCAACGGCAAAATTGGCTGAAACAGTTTTGGATTTGTTTGTTTCAATATTTTTGACAAACAAAAAATTGTATAAACCCGCCTTGTCACTTTTTGATTCACAAAGTTACAACAGGCTTCCAAGGGATGTATTACAAGTTTTTACTGAATTCAGGACGAATCTATTTTTGCTAGTTGCCGTTGAAAGTAGTCCAAAAGAAAGTTGCATAATGATTGCAAAAGACATGAAAGAAATGAACACAAATAATTTGACGACAAACATTGTTTCATTTTACGGAAAACTTGTTTATGATTTACTCACTCGATATCCTAAAGATGTTAAAGATCTTTATGGTCCAGCGACTGATTTCTTCAACACATTTTTGATGAATACAAATGATTTGTTGGGATTCGAAGGTTCAATTGGAAGAAGCGCTTTGAAATGCGCTGTTTCTTCAGGAAGAAATGGAGATATTACAAACTGGATATCAACATGCTTGAAATTAGTTGTTCCTGTTATAGAAGACATTTCTTACAACGAAATTGATAATTTGTCTCTCAAAACTCGTCAAATCTCAGCATCAAAATCATTCATTGCAGAATGTTACAAGAGTTTAGGTGTTGAAAATCCAAAGATATCTAATGTTTCTAAGGAGATTGCACAGAAGGCATTGAATGCAGTGAAAGGGAAATCAGAAGATTCTTCTGTATTGATATCAGCTCTTGATTACTTTATTACTGTTTTTAATTAAATTATTTTTTATTATTATTTTTGATAATTTTTTTTCTTATCTTCGATAACAATATAAATAAACAATATTACTTTCAGTCCAATTTGTCACTATAACAATTATAATTGTTTCATTACAAATAATATCAATAATATGGTTCATTAGAGATGCAATCATTAAACACGTAATACGTCTTCCTAGAGAAATTTGAAATTTCAACTTTTTTTATGTTTTTGTTATTTTTATTTTCTCGTTAATTATAAGTCATGAAAACTCTAATTGACGGATATATTCAATTTTAAAAATTGAGAGGGTTGCACTGGAGCCTTATAATTATAAAAGGAAGATTATTTAGTGCTTGCTCATATGTATTTGCAAGCATTCTCATAAATCATATTAATCAAATAATTTATCAAGAAATTCTTTAATCAATTAAGAGTTGAAGGCATATTGCTAGAACATAAGGTATTGCTAATAATATAAGAGTTATTCTAATGATATTTTTATCAAAAGCATTCATTTCACCATCATCTCTCGATCGACGTTTAAGTTCCTCTGAACCAGGTTCAAATCGGTTGTATTTGTATTGATATTCATCTTTATCTAATGAGATATTTTTAACAACTGAAATTTCAATATATTTGTCAGTTAGTTTACAGAATAGTTTTTCATAAAAACTATGCAATGCAAGTATTCTAAAGAACTTATATAAATTTTGTCCAAATTAACCTGTCAAAAAATTGAATAATTTCGAATTTCTTTTGTTAAATAAAACCAAGCGTGTATCAGCGCGATCGTAGTCAATCAGTTCAGTTCTATAAAGCACTTGCTCTCTTAAATTTTGAGAAAATTCTTTGAATTTTTCATTTGCTTCATAATTTAGTATGTATTTTTCTTTCAACAGATAAATAACTACTTCATTTTCAATATTTGCAAATTGTGGAGGTTCTAATTCCCATGATCCATATGTAAAATTATACCTTTCTTTTATTTTTTCACTATAATCAAATATATTTCGTTGCCTAGTTTCTATTTTAAAACAAGACATCATTGGTTGTTGTGAAACGAATGAATTAAGGTATTCTTCATTATTTGTATTGAGAAAACTATTGTAGAAACCCTTTTGACCAGGTGGGAAACTGTTAATTAACTGTCTAACTATACGATAGACAAAAAGTAGAAGTGGTAAAAGTCCAAATAGCTCTCCAATGGACATTGATGTTTTGGAAATTTAATGAATTTGTCAAAATTTTCAAATAATTTGATATGATATGATATATATATTACTTAAAATAAAATAAAACAAATGATCTTATCAAAATTTGAATACCAAATCATGGAGAGGGGCACAAACTTGCCCAGTGAGGTGAAGTGAAAAGTGACATATTTACATGTCAGAAATGTAAAGTGTCAGATTTGAAACAAAAAATGGATTAATTTATTATTATATGATAGAGAGATTTGGTAAGTTACTATCAAATTTGTAAGTAAGGGAAAAAAGTAAGAAAGAAAAAAAATTAAAAAAAAATAAAAAGCCACTCGCTTCGCTCGCGGGAGACAAAAAGAACAAATTCGAAAAAAGATTATATGAAATTACGAAACTAAGCCGCGAGCGAAGCGAGTGGCTTAAGAAAAGAACAGATTCGAAAAAAGATTGTATGAAATTACGAAACTAAGCCACTCGCTTCGCTCGCGGCTTAAGAAAAGAACAGATTCGAAGAAAGATTGTATGAAATTTTAATTCTTTATTTTTTAGGATTGTTAGCTTTGTAAGATTGCTTTCTCACAAGAGAAAACAAGTATAAGGTTTAAGCTGTATGTATTAAAGTTATAAATATTTGATTTTAAAAAAAATCAAGATTTTAAACTTTAAAGGTATTAATTATGATTATCTTTCTTTAGCTTTGCATGCTGTATGCTACTTTTGGAAACTGCTCTATTGTATTAGAATGTTTTTAAATTTTGCACCTAAAAATGCGTAATATTAAAAATTAAGGTATTAATTATGATTATCTTTCTTTAGCTTTACATGCTGTATGCTACTTTTGTCTTTGAGACATTCCATGATTTAAGTTAAGAAGCTTTAAAAAAATGCAAAAAAAATTGAATACTTTACTGGCTGGGCAAATTTGTCGCCGCCCCCCAAATCATGAATTGTTTTTATCGTCTTTATATTGAATTGAATTTTTGGAATATGTTTCCTTGATTTATATTAGAATTGTCTATATGATAGAGAATTAGGATCATAAATATATGTAATTTGTTGCTCTCCCATATGGTTTCAAAATTTCGTCTGATTTCAAATTTAATAGACTAATACAAACAACTGTTTAAATTAATATGATTAATAACAATGATCCAAGAATTATAAAACAACCAAACATATAGTTTAATAAGTGTTTTGCAAATTTCGGTCTTTCAGACTTAAGCCAACAATATATAAGTATTCCTGTAACAGGAATGAATGTAACAATAACATAATACTTAATATCTCTTGATTCCACATGACTTTCATCGAAACAACGCTCTTCAAAGCTTGATGTGTCTTCTTCAATTTCTATTTGTTGATGTCCATCAAATTGAAATCTTCCATTCATATATGATATTGCATCATCTGGAGATAAGTCAGGAGGCAAAGGGTTTTTTAATACCATATAATCTCCTGATTTTAATGTATATATGAACTTGGGTCTCTCAACTTCATCTGGAGATGGAACATATTCTTCAATCTTTTCACTCTCCGAGTTTTTTGAATTTTTATAAAAACTATTTTCCCAATTATTGTTCATAATATTGTTTGCATATGGGTTTGTATTATCTTGATTAAGATTTGTTCTTTTAAACATTAAGTTCATCATTTTTTCAAAAATTCCTTGACAATTTAAGTTCGCAGTCATTGTATCTGCATTCACTTCTTCACTTTCATCCGTTCTTAATTTGTGCTGTTCATGGAACATGCAGCTTTAATAATATTATAAAGTACAAAATTAGAACTATCAATTGGGAACGATTAAGTGTCAACTTTTATTCAAATATTGATAAGGTAACAACGATCAAAAAATTGAGAAATAGATACAATACCAATTCAAAATATATTGCTACCAATCTTGTTGCCCTTTAAAGAAAATGGGAAAAATTTTTTTATTTGAATACATATAAATTCATTACAATTTAATGATTTTTTTTGATTGGAATTGAAAATTAATATTACCTAGACATACAAAAGATTTAATGACGGATGCTCAATCAAATATTTTAATTTTTATAAAAATGAATATTGAAAAATGCTGACAAGCAGCCATTGAACAATATGAATCATACACAACTCATTATAGAATGATGAAATGAATTTGCGATAAACACATCAAATTGATTTCATAATAGAGTAAAAAGATAATTTTTTTTAATCATTCATCATTAGTTAAATTGTATGCATGAATGCAATACTTTAGTTATGCTATTTTTAAATCATATATTTCGGAATGTAAATCCATAAAGTATAAGTATGTAATTTTACTTTTAAGGATACTTGCTTGGTGTTTTTGCTTATGGGGTAAAAAGGTATGAAAATTCTATAATATACTAACTAATCAAACAAACATTTAGATATTTTAACAAAGATATAAAATCTGTTAATAAATAAAGAATAGATTAGGGTTATCGATGCGCAGCATTCACCTTAATACTTAGGATATATCTTCCTTCATTATCTGAATTTTGTTTTACTGGTATATCTTTATTAAAATGAATTTTTATCGCTTGTGATAAACATTTATCTAGTGATAACCCTTTTTCAGAATGCTTACCTTTTCCTAAATTAAATTCAATATGATAATTAATATCTGGTGATAAAGTTTTAAATAATCTATTGAAACACTGTGCAGCGCCAAGAGTAGTAAATCCGTGCATGTTTAGGTATATTCTTGTTGTTTTTGTAATAGGATTAAGATTTTCAATATCAAATTTGGAAAATTCCGGAATTTCAATTTTTTGTTGGAGATATTCCTCAATATCTGTAAAGTTTGTTGCATAATCTAGTTTAGGATCGCTAATTTCATTAGCAATTTGCTCAACGAGCCATTGCTCGCTTAAAGAATCATCAAATTCATTCATAAATGTCACTTTTTGAAATGCTGAAATTGCAAGCGATCCATAATCAAAGATCTTTGATTCAGTTAAATATTGGCATCACATCACTTATGATAATCGATGTACTACATGCTCACACAAAGGAACCTAATTTAATAAACAATTTTTATATACTTACATTTTTCATAGACTTTAGCAATAAAAAGTCTTCTATTAGAGGAACTTTTAGCAAGTCGTATTTGTCAATTTGATATATTGTTAGTTCAATTTTTTTATCCAATTATCCCCAATAAGAATTAGAAATAATCATATTTTTCCAACTTTTAGAAGTTTAAGAAATGTTTTCATATTTTTCTATCTGTATAACATATATTGTTGAGAATTAATGTTTTTAGTGCATAATACTTAAATAATATCAAATCAGGTAAGATTAGTGATGAGGACAGTGATTTTGAATCAATGAAATTATCAAAATTATACCACAATTATCATTCTTCATATATTTTTCATTTTATCATCAATATGAATAATAATGAAAAAATATATGAAGAATGCATTACATTATGAAATGAGGAAGATTTAAAGATATATCTACATTTGGTTGACAATATTGAGTTAATTAATTGTATTCAGGGAGATTATCGTTCCAATAAAGGATTTCCATATAAATTATAATAGACATATCTGCATAGAAGCTCATAGAATGCTAAAATATCCTGGTCTCCACTATTATTTATGTCAATAATCATAGCAACGAGAATTTTTGAACGGTTTCGAATTTTTATATTTGTTACAATGGAGAATCAAATATTCACTATAAACATCGTTGGAGCCACAGATATATATCCTAACGAACCACTTGATCATGTTGTAGTGAGGATTTCCATTGTAGATCAGTCAACTGGCAATGTAATTAAAAAATCTTTAATCACAGAAAATGAAAACGAAATACCACGAAAATGCATGTCCCCATATGAGACAACAGAATATATTTCACCTGTTTGTACAAAAACAGTGTCAATAGATAACGTTAAACGTCTTGCACCGTACTGGGATGATTCTTTCATCTTTAACGAATCTGTAACAACAATTCTTAAAGAAAATATTGTCGTTTATTTCGAAATTATTGACTTAGACGTACCAAAAGACAAACATCACCAAACTCCAATTGCCTGGGCGTTTTTAAAGCCATTAGCATCAAATGGTACATATAATATTGACCATCCATGCAAATTACACTTACATTACTATCCAAAGAACTTTAATCCACAATTACAAGGAACTTTCGTTCCAGTTTCAAAATTACTTAACAACCCATCAAAATTCCTAGCATATCTCAGTGTTGAAATCAAGACAAGCGAGACTCATGAGCTCTATGATGTTACAGGACGTCCAAAACATTTCTTCCACCGCGAAGTTGGCTCAGAAAGCATCGAAACTCTCGTTTATCACGAAGAATCAGCAGAAGAAGAAATTGAAAAGGCAGAAGCTGAAGCTCCTCAAATCATTCGCCCAGCAAATAAAAATTGCAAAATTCCAAGGCTACTTAAAGCACAATTTCCAGTTGGAGAAAATGGTGCTCACGCTCTATGCTTCAACAACAACGGTGATATCCTCGTTGCTGCAGTTAAAACCGGTGCAACGTATTCAATTCAATTCTTTTCAGTCAACGATATCGAAAACTCATTGGCTCTTATCAGAAATGCGCACCACGATATTATTTACGAGCTTACATTCTCTTCAGATGACAAATATTTGATGTCAGCCTCAGCCGATGGCGATGTCAAAGTTTGGCATGGAAATGGAGACTCCCAGCAACCAGTAAATACACTTCCCCACCCTTGTAACGTTTATACTGCAAAGTTCCATCCACAAGATTCCAGATTGGTCGCTACAGGAGCCAGGGATTCACTTGTTCGCTTATGGGATAGAACTAAGAACAGCTGCACAGCAGAACTAAGAGGAAATGTTGGCACAATCAACTCATTAGTTTTTAGTCCAGACGGAAAGTCGATGTACGCTGGAGATAGTACAGGAATTATTACAGTATTCAATACAGACGTAACTGTAGAAGGTACAGACGGAGTTTCAAGGAAGAGTGTCGTCAAAGAAGATGAAATTAAAAATGTTCCAATTGTTCATCTATCAATGGAACGATCAAACTTTTCATTGTTGGTTTATACGAAAGATTCAATGCTCAGAGTCTTCGAAACCAAAGTTATGGTACCAAGCCAAAGATATTCAGGCGTTGTTTGCAACAAATTCATGATGTCGGGCGTTTTCTCACCAGATTGCCAATATATTTTAGCTGGATCTGAAGATGGAACAGCTAAAGTTTGGACTGTAAGAAAGGCTGAGCTGATTCCAACTGCTGAATGGAATTTCCAGTTCACGACACCTTTAACTGCTGTTGCATGGAACAGAGTTGAAAACATGGTCGCGTTCTCTTCATTTGGACCGAGAATGCCGATTATTGTCTTCTGCGATCCATCACCTTTGCCTGTTGTTATTGAAGAAAGTGATGAAGTTGATCAATATTAAAATGTTTATTTTTATTTATAATTTATTTTCATATATATATTTACAATGATATATTGGCTGAATTATTATATTGTTGTTCCATAAACAATCAATAATAAGTTCCGGCTAGAATTACAAATATTTCATTATGAAGCGGCTATAAAACTACTATTGTAACATAAACAAACCGTAAACAGAGGATTTTGATGATGTGAATTGATTAAAAAACAATATTAAGAGTAAATAGCTTTACAACAACATGCTTTTTTTGCATTAATATGGAAGTACCGCTTCAAATATTTGAATATGCTATTTAACATCAAATCTTTATTACTTTTATATCGAAATAGCTGCATATTCAGTTTGGTATCTTTTGATCATAGTTTATTAAGTTTGTTCTAAATACCTATCCTAAATTCATATTGAGATTCTTTCCAACTTTGAGTATAAAGCCTTGCGTACATGATATATATCTTCTATATGTTAACAGTATAAATATAACACATTTATTATATAGGTTTGTTGACTATAGTTATCCAATAATTTACGCCCGTAAGATTTTTAAATTAATTTTCCATCAGTTTCATGTCTTCAACACAGGAATTTCCAGAAGTAAATATCCTACTCGAAAAACTTAGGTCGAAAAATGTTAATGCAATATGGAATGAAAGCGTTGAATTGTTAGAAGAGTTTAAAATCAAATTTTCAAAATATTTCGAGAGTTATCTTCTTCAAATAGCAAACCTCATACGTGCAAAACATTTTGTTGAGCCAGTATTCAAAAATAACCTTGATGAATATATATTAACCATCGCACAAATGACTAGCAGTGAAAAACATTTTGATAAATCACGTGATGCCAACAAGACTGATGAAAAATTCATGCAATACTTATACAGAGTATGTCAGTGTTTAAAGAGCAGTTACATAATCGATGTTTTTCTTCCATCATTTTATCAATATTTCATTTCTGATTCAAACGCAAAAGATTTTTACACATTACTCGAATACATACAAGCCAAATTTGCTGATGATGAATATTGCCAAAGTTTTCTTTTAAATTCCATCATAGTTTTCATTGAATGCGACACAATTTTCATTAATTCTCTTTTTGAGAAGTTTTCTCGAAAAATTTCGAAACGCCAAGGTGAAGTAGTTTCAGATTTCTTCGATTCTTTCATCAAATCCATGCCAATGATGAGAAAATACCAATTCCAAGCTTTCGAACTTTTTTACAAAAATTATTGTGATGAAACATCATTAAACGTGCTTTTCCAGACACTCAGCAAGTCATTGTTCAAGACATGGGATTATTCAGAGTTCTCCACAGCATTCTGCAACTTTGATTCGAAGATTTTTACAATAAATAATGTTCAGAAACCAAAATTAGAGAGAAAAAGCGAAATCTCTGTTGATTTGGACTTTTCAGCACAAATTGGGAAGTTTAGATCTGATTATGATTCATCTCCAAAGTACCATCGCACTGAATTCAACATATCTGATTTCTGCCGGAAAGATTTTTGTTTTTATGTTTCTAAATACGATTTAATTCTCATGGATATAATAAATAAACAGAAAGAAGGTTTTGAACAAGAAATACAGAGTATTCCTCAGAATTATCAGTACTCAATGAAGTATTACTATGCAAACTATTCCATAATCAATGCAGCTAGTTCTGAGGAAAAGAAAAATGAAGAAAAAGATGATGAGACGAGAAAAGCAGAAGTTGCATATAAAAACTTAAAAATGAAATTTCAAGGAAAACTAAATCAAATGATTTCGAATATTCCGCGCGATTCAAGTGGAAAACCAACAAAGGTAACTCTTAAGATATTGCAGCTAATCAACAAATCATATGAACGTATGGAAAAAGAATATCAAGAATTGAAGGAGAAATATTTTATTTTTCCAATTCTTGAACAACAAAAAATTGCAATTGAAAGAGAATGGTTTGATTTCACAACATACACTTTGTACAAATACGAAAAAACAACAGAAAAACTTAACTTCACTTATAGTGATAATAAACCAATTGGTGATTACATCAAACTTCATCTCAAAGAACATATAAAATCAATGGTTGATTCAAGAGTCAGGGTTCTAAAAAGTACTGTTTTTAAGACTTCATTTCTTGGAAAAGATTTCGCTACGGAAGAAATCAAGAAATTAAAGTTATTCACATTAACATCTGATTCTATTGACGGAGCGTTTGTTAATCTTGTTTCTGGAACACAGAAATATATAATCAATGATGCAAAAGCAACTTCACATGTTTTGTCATCGATTTACAATATGATTACAATTCCACAGATTTTTGTGATGATCGACAACATCATTATTCCAAAAGAAACAAAGTTCCAAGGATCAATAGATAAAGACAGCAAATCTTTGTTTGAGAGAATGGCAAAGAAAATCATTGAAGAGGAAGCAAATACAAGCAAAGTTTACTTTGGAATGAAAATCAAAATATTCTGTAATATAATAAATGAAAGAAAGCATATGATTGCAGGAAAAAGAGAACAAACAAAACCAAATTCAAGGAAAAAACCACAAGGAGTAATGTACCAGATTTTGGATGCTGTTGATCAAATATTAAACAATCCAAACTCTCAAAGAGAAACTCCAGCAAATTACTGCAGTTATTCACTTCTTAAACCTTGGAAAGATGCAATTGAATCTTCTCCTGATTTTGATTTTTGTTGAAATATTAAATCAATAATTTTATAATTTATTTTTCTAAACCAACTATTTTTTTATTTTGATAATCTTTAGAGCTTTTTTGAGCAATTTAATGATTGCGGCATATTGAATAAGTTATATTAATATATTCTACATGATCGAGTAAGGTATAATCTTCATCTTCAAATAATAAGTTCACAAATCATTTAAGGTAACAGATTCATTAAAGTTAGTTATTTGATCAAACATTTTTCCAAAATAGTTTATGCAACATTAAATATTCCATTATCATTGATATGATTTTGAGATTATTGCTCAATAATGCTCAATGGTTCTGATATGAGAATAATTCTAGAGATTAAAATTATATTTCAATTTTTTACTAACTAAATTAGCATATTAACTTTCACTGCGCTCAATTTCTTTGCTATGATGACAATATCCTTTCTTGACAACGAATATTGAAATCACAACAATAGTTGTTACTAATACCAAAGCTACGACAACTCCAATAATAATCTTTTTCTTCTTTCCGCTATCGGATGCATTGCTAGATACTTGATTTCCTGCTTCATTTTCTTGGTTTATGCTATCTGATGTGGGAGATGATTTGTCTGGCTGTGCTGCATTTGTTTGAGGTGTCGGAGCTTTTGGTGTTGGAGTTTTAGGAGTAGGCGTCTTTGGTGTTGGAGTTTTTGGAGTAGGCGTTTTTGGTGTAGGGGTTGATATTTCTGCAGCATCACAATCAACAGGATAGACGGTATAATCATAAACATTAGAATTATATTTAACTTGAATATCTATTCTCTTTCCAATCAATTTTTGGTAATTAGATTGATACAATCTATCTTCACCATAATCAGAAAGATTGAACATAGCTCCACGTTGTTTTCCTCCATAATTTCCAGTTGTGTATTTAATAGCACCAACTTTCTGAGTAACTCCATCAATTTTTACTGATATTTGCAAAGGCTCTCCTTCTGATATTTCAAGTGCCCAAAAACTGAATCTGCTGTAAATAAATCTAGCTGGGAAATAGCCAGGTGGAGGATATGCTGTGAATACAAGTCGTTCTTCGCTACTGGATCCCATATTAAAAGTTTTCATCGCAACACTATTTGTGAGACCGCTTTCACCAGATTTTAATGAGTTATAAGCACCTCCAAATGCTGTTGTTTTGAGTCCCCCATAAAACACCCATCTTCTATGTCCCAGATTTTCATTATAAACACCTGGATCTTGAATGAATTGCTGAATTGCTCTAGCGGCATCAAATGATCCAAAACCTGATCCAAGGTTTGAACTTGAGCATCCAGCATATGCTGAGGAAGTATAGCATGGCGTACTGGAATCTGGTCTATGAATTAAATTTCTATTTTTGACATTGCATATTGCGCACTGAATTTGTTCATTATCATATTTTGAATCAAGAGATACAGGTGTATCAAATCCAACAAGCCATCGCATGTAATTGAGTTCTTTAAGCGCTTTATTGTCATCGGTTCTTTTGTCGTAGCTTTTCTGTGTGCAACTTCCTTGTTGATCTTGATAAGGCGGTTTTCCAGAGTAGCTATAGCTCGTACTAAAAACATCCGTTTTATATCTGTTGCAGACCTCTGCTTTTGTTCTTCTTTCTAGTTTATCAAAGCGGACACATATGAGGGAGAACAACATTCGAAGAATGACTAATTGAATACTTTACAATTTTTATGAAACTAAATTCATTCATAAAATGATATAAATAGCAAAATCAATAAAAATGAATTCAAGATGTGGCAAACCCAAATTTTAGCTAAAAGTGACAGGGAAAAAAACGTTTAGTATTAAAAAAAAAGACCGATGAGAGCTTCGTTCGAAATATAGAGGGAACTGAGAATGCGCAACCATTCTCAGGGAATATTGGATGCTATTCCCGTTCCCTCTGTATGGAAAATTGAGGTTTTCAAAGGGAGTTAAAATAATATCAAATTTATACTAATTTACTTCAAAATACAAAAGTATTTGACAGCTAAAATTAGTTACTTTAGCAAGCCTATCAATACCCTTTTACGATTATTGTTACTTTTTCGAAATAAAAGTAAAAACAAATTTATACTAATTTACTTCAAAATACAAAAGTATTTGACAGCTAAAATTAGTTACTTTAGCAAGCCTATCAATACCCTTTTACGATTATTGCTACTTTTTCGAAATAAAAGTAAAAACAAATTTATACTAATTTACTTCAAAATACAAAAGTATTTGACAGCTAAAATTAGTTACTTTAGCAAGCCTATCAATACCCTTTTACGATTATTGCTACTTTTTCGAAATAAAATAAATTTATTATCAAAAACCTTTTTTTTCTTAGTAAAAATAAAAATGTTATTTTATATCAAGTTTTTATTCATAAATTTTTATAATGTTGTATAAATTTCATTAAAATTTACGTACATATTAAGGTACTTATCTTCTACATATATAATCTTCATTAGATATATACATGATAAATAAAATTCATAAAACATTAAAAATCAAAAAATTAGATGAACCTTGGCAATTAAACTTTATTAAATAATAGTTGTTTATAAATTATATTATATTATTATTTAATATTATTTTGATAATGAAGATTTTATTTTGCAATAATATAAACGAAATTTTTTACCTTATGAACTTTTGATGGAAATATGCAAATTTAAAATAATAAAGAAAGCCGCGAGCAAAGCGATCGGCTTAGTTCGAAGATTTTGATTCAAATCTTTGCTGATCTGTAATTCGCGGAAGCCGCGAGCGAATCGAGCGGCTTAGGTCTAAGATTTTGATTCAAATCTTTGCTTATATTCCTTAAATTCTTTATGAAACTCGCAACAGTTCCATAAAAAATTTTAAATTCTAAACTGTCGAAATTACCGATCGGTAATCACACCCTTCACGGGTGTGTCACTTTTAGCTAAAATTACCCCTACTCTTCAAGATGTCAGATTTTTTTGAATGTAGTTTCAATTATAATATTCTATATCAAATAATCAATTATTTCTGACATTAAAACACAAATTTATCAATTCATAAGTTGGCTTAATACTCTTCTACTGGAGTTCGATCATTGTGATCAATCAATGTTGAAAATATTTTTTTCTGGGAAAAACTTTTAATTTATGGATGGATCAGAATGAACCGTTTCATAGGAAAACTCCTTTCCTACCTTCAGAGTACTAGATTTTATATGATTGGAGGTCTATAAATGCTTTGCTGAAAAACTATTGTTTAATTTATTGTTATTATCGTAATTGCTTTCTAGATACAGTTACTTATGAAGAGTTTTGTTCTTGTTAATCAATTTGCACAGAAAAAGATGCTAATTTTATTTCTAGTTAAATATTTGGATTATTCGGCCATCACTAAGAATTCAAGATGTCTATAGCTAGTACAATTATTTTATGAAACATATTCTAAAAGAAATGAATTGATTATAAAAAATAATTTTTAATGTGATAAAAAAAGGATCAGATTTTTTTTTCAACGAAAAAGGTCGTTTTAAAATAAAAATTAATTCATTGAACTTGCATATGTAGCAGCACCAACAACAGCATCTGGATTCTCGGCAGCAGCCTTAGCGATTTCTTCCTTATGATTGTTTGCGTAGTTAACAGCATATCCTGCAGCTTCTTTGACAGCTCTATTCTTGAAGTCTGTCTTTCTGAAGAGGATGAGAGATTGCCACCAAACCCAACCCCAAGCAACGACGAAGAGTGTAGCAATAATAGAGAAGATGATGGCAATAATGCCAACCCACTTGCCTTCAGCTGCTGTAACGCCGTTGATTGCAATGATCCATCCGAATGATCCGTATGCACCAAGACCAACAGCAATGTAGACATAGAAAAAGAAGTATAAGGCGGACATGATGAGATAACCGACGAACTTCATACCTTTGAATTCCTTTAGAGCGTTGTAGAATGGCATAACGACGCTTTCGAGGGAAATTGGATAGAGAATAATAAGGAAGAACCATGCGAAAACAATTGATGTGGCTGGTGAGTCGATCTTGTCAGCTGGACCCTTTGTCAAATAGAAGAGTGACAAGAGGGCGTTGATGCAAAGAACAATGGCACTGCCATATGAAAGCCAGAATAATCTTGACATGACTGGTCTGAATTCTTCTTCTAAGTCGTCTTCTGGATAATATTTGTAAAATTTGAGAAGAATTGGGAAGTTTCTTGGATGTGGATTGAGTTGTCCAAGGGTTCCATTTGCTCTGGCTTCTTCAATTTCGCGCTCTCTAGCAGCAATTCTTTCTTCCCTCTTTCTTAAGGCTTCTTCTCTTGCCGCTAGTTCTTCATCCGTTAGTTTTATACCCATAACTTGATCTTTGTATCCACCTTGCTGGTTGGAGGCGGATGAGGCTGGAGCTTGGCTTGGCTGAGAATCTGTATATGAGGTATTTGTAGTTGGTGGTGGAGCTTGTTGCTGCTGAGGGGCTGGATCCTGATAATTTGAACCCATAGCAAATGGGTTATAAGAATCATCTACGGATGTCTCAAAAGGATTTGCCATTCGAAAAAAATATTTATTCAATGTAGGGTCCGCTTCGGCGATACAAAAATAAAAAATTATTAGATTTAATAGTATGAATCAAAATAAATAATGAAATTTTTATTAACCTTTGAAAGGGCAGGTTGATTTTTGTCAGGATATTCAAATAATTTAACTTTATAATGACTCATATGCTTGCACTAGAAATGAAATTCTACACTGACGATGGGATCTCAATTTTTTATTGTTGAATTAGATTTACACATTTCGGAGAGCATAAGCTTAAACAAGAAAATGTCAAAGCTTTTTGGCAAGCTCATACATCCTCAAAATAAAATCTACTGGCCGCTGTTTTGCATTATTTCATCGAAATTAGCACTATACAATAAGTTTTCTGTCCTATGAGTTTATTTTAAGCATTAGCTATTTCAATTCCAATTCGATAAAGACTACATCACAGTAAGTTATGCATAACTAAGATTACATTTAATTTTTTTTTCTGCAATCAATAAAATATTTTTGTAACATTTTCTGTATTAGAGATTCAATGAGAAATGAATTCACATACACTCTCAAGTGAATATTACAATGTCATTTAATACAATTCCTTCAATTAAATTTCGATCCAAAATTCATATATGAAATTGGGATCTTTAAATGTGTGAATATCTACCTAAAATTATAATTTTGGATTTGGGTGATAAAGAATATTTTACCTAATTTTTTTGGAAGTTCCGAATCGATGGACAATCAATCAGAGCTATTCACATTTTTTTAAATTGAATCAAGTGATTTGGACTTGAAGGTAGGTACGCCTTTTTACTCGCAGTTTATTGTAAAGGTATGTACGACTTTTGAATATGTTGGACAATTTCTTGAGAGAATGAAAGAAACAAATATGCGCTAATCTAATAAAATAATTTTTATTTATAAAATGAAAATGGATTTAATCATTATGTTCTTTAATTGGTTGATAATTTTTGTGGGAAGTGAATTTTTGTACGATTAAGGCGAGAATCTTTTTTGGGTAATTACATATTCTCTCCCAAATGTGAGAAAGTTCAATCATTAGTGGTTTACCTTGCAAAGGTAATACTTGAATAAAAGTTTGAATTGTTTCTGAGTTGTCAGTATTCTTAGATAACAACAATATTAGATCAAAATATTCTGCTCTGAGATGTACGTTTTTGAAAGAATAAAACAATTTATCATCAGGACGAATTTGGTCAATTTCTTTGAAAAAGAAATGAAGATCTTCATTTGGCATTATAAGATAATAATTGAAAGAATACATGTTTTTTGCACGAGCAAAATACTTAACAACTTTAATGTTTTGAATGCAATTTGAAAATTTGTTTGTTGAAAACATATCTATCAACGTGCTAATGTTATTAACATTTGAGACTTTGAGGTAGAAGTAAATGAGGACTTTGATTACATTATTTCGATATCTTTCATATGGAAAGATAATTACAACATTTATTGGATCAGTGAGTTTTTCTGAGATAATTAAAGGAATGTTACGGTATAGGACAGATGTTTCCGGAAGCTGATAAGGTCTGAAGAATTCTTTTAGCTCGGGTTTGATTGTTTCAACAAGGAAATCTTTGATTTCGGAGTTACGTAAGAACCTGCTGTCTTGATAATTTAAATTATTGTTGTTTACATTGCCATCATTCGAATTCGAATCAACAGACATTAAAATTTTTAAAATTTTATGTCAGTTTTTGAGTATTATTTTATTAAAAAAATAGAATAGTTTAAATCCAACTCGAAATAAATTTAAAAGAAAAATTTTCCATATCAAGGGTGCCCTATAAACGATAACGTAAACATCACAAAAATAAATTTATTGAACTCGAATATATGGATCACTTTGATTCTAGATACTCAATATAATAGCCTTGAAAGTACTTTTCTGCGGGTGGTCTATCATCTTAATTTTTGTAAATTGAAATTTCATAAAAATTTCTAAAATTGGAGAAAGTTGTATTTTAGATTTTGGAGATAATACAGGTTCTTTATTCAAACGAGGTATCCATATTCAATGAATAGTTTGGAAGCTGAAAAAATAACTCATAATAAAATAGAAATCTTGAGGTAAAAAAAAGCTTTATAATGGTAGTACATTTTAAAAAGATTGATGTTATTTGATGATGCATTTCGAAACTTATTCTATAAGGATCCAAATTGCAGAATAATAATAATTAAAAAATAAATCTTTAGATAAAAAACTCTATAAAGGTTGTGCATTTGAAACAGATTGATAGAAAGCGAATTCATTGAACTCATTTTCAGAAACAGGGAACTTGATAGCAGGTATAATTGCCTGCAGTTGCAAGTCATTATAATGTTGAATTATTTCATTAATTTGCAAATCTTTGATTCCTTTATCTACATTATTTTGCATCCATTCTGTATCATCTCTCATTCTATCAAACAACTCAGAAGACAATGATCCTGCAACATCGAAAGCGTTCTTTGCATTATTCTTAGCGAGATACGTGAGAGTTATGAATCCGCATTTCAAATCTCTGTAGCAAACATCTCTAAAGTGTGATTTATACAATTTACACAACATTTCAACGACATCATCATTCATTAACTTCTGGATTGCCATGCTCTCATTGTTAATTAAACTTCCTGTGAATAAATAGAAAGAGGCCCATGTCAATAACTTCATTTCTTCATTGTCAAAACCGTTATTTGTCATTCCGAAATGTAAAATATTTAATGCGTTGTCAATAAACTGGTAAAAACTATCAATACCAGCATAACAACCACAAGCGGCAATGAACAATGCAGGTACAATGTTTGATGCTGAGTTATATTCTTCTTGTTCGTTTTCTTCCCTCTTTTCTATTGGACTCAAAATTCCTTGTAATTTTTGGCCAAGTGAAGTGACAAAATCATTATTTGTTGTCAAATTTGTTTCTTTGTTCAACAAAATTGAGGAAATCAACATCGCGAAATATTCATCGATATCAATGTTGATGAAAGAGTTGTTCATCTGTGCCAACAATGTCATTACGAAATCAGCTAAACTTGGTGTAACAACACATAATTTTATCGCTAAAACCGCTGCAACTTTTACATGTTGACTTATTCCAGCTGATTGAGGATATTGTGTTATATCTTCTTTGAGCTTGTTTAATAAGTCTTCCTGTATATGGAATTGGATATTTGTTTCTACAGGAATACAGTCAATCGTGGATGCAATTGCGTCAATGTCTTCTTCCATTGTTAGTTCATTTGCATCGTTGTTTTCTTCGGCCAATTTACACCAGTGGTCGACCAAACCGTTTATGATGTTTACCGACTCTTCGTGGGCTTTTGTGCCTCCGATTCTGAAGAGTTTGGAAAGAACTGTTGTTTCGACAGGGAGCTTCAGTTCGTCAAGGAGCTCTGTGACCTTGGGGAAGAGTTCTTCGAATGGAGCATCAATGAATTCTTTGTATGCGTCGAGATCTTTGCCAACTTCGTTGAAAACTTCGTTCAGAAGGTTAACAGCGGCATGAGCAACAATGATATTGTCTGCTGTCTGAAGTACTTGTCCGGCAGTGATGGAGGCAATGATAATGTCCTCTTTTGGCTGAACAATACTAATAAATCTGAGAATTGTGGCGGTAACGAAAGGTTCGATCTCAATTGTTAATATATTGAAGATCTTTTCGAATAATTCAGCATCTATTGGTGCTATTTTTGCGTATGAACACATTAAATAAATTCTAGATTCGAGATCAAAGTAAAAACTGAGTTCTGCTTTACTTTCTGGGATCTCTATGTTGGAAAGAATCTCAATTGGATCGAAATGTGCAAGATAATTCTCTGTAACATGATATGTAAATTTTGATGCGGCAATTCTAGCGGTCATCTCAAGATCTGAGTCATCTGTGAAGCACTGGGATATGTATACACTCGGATTGACATTGAAGTCGTTGTAATCTTCTGTTGTAAGCTTAGCTGCTGGAATAATAAAATTATTGAAGATTTCTTCTGTTACAAGATCATCAATAAAGAGGTTAAAGTATACAAGATAGTATATAATCGATATAATACCGTCAATCATCTTCGTTGATTGAAGAGAATGCGTTGTTGCAATAACTCCTTCAAAAAGTGCTGGCATGACATCGTTATTGAATAATTGAACGAGTTCGGCCTTGTTAATATCAATTTCCTTCTCATCGCTGTCTGTTGTGCCTTCGTAAACGAATTGAATTAAATATACGAAAAAGTCAAGTATTGATTCTTTCATTTTGGTCTGATTTGCGTTTGAGCCTTCTAACTTAAGGCCTTGTATGTAGATTTCAAGCGATTTCATGAAAGATTGGTCAATTGATAAAGATTTTCTTTGAACTAGTACTTTTTGTATATTGGCGGTTGCTGCAATGATCAAAAATGCGTTCTCATCAGAGCCAACTAGTTCTCCTGCAGCTTCAATTAAAGAATTCAAACTTTCAGAAATTTGAACTCCAAAAGAAATGGCGGCTGGCGCTGTAATAAACTGTGCACACATGGATAAAACAGTGTAAATATCGGCAAGTGGAGTTTTATCATTGATTAAACCAAAAATTGCTTCGAAAACGGGTAAAAATTCTTCCTCTTTGTTAATTGCTGCCTGTACAAAGCAATCCTGGATAGTACTACGCTGGTCTGGTGGTAACATAAATAACAAGCTTATAATTGTTTCTTTTGAGGAGTCATCTGATAGGGCATCGAATAGTGCTTTCCAATTTACTGCTGCAAATCGCTTGAATGCAATTAAAACGTTTCTGAGAAGATTTTTATCTGATAAAACTTCCTCTTTATGAAGTGTTTGGACTAAAAAATGTAGAAATTCGGGATTTTGGCATAGTTCCATCAATTTCTCACCAGTTGCCTTAACAATTTCTGGATCCTGTGATGAGATATTGCGGAAATCTTGAATTTCCATTGGTCAAACCCTCAAAATTTTAGGTGTCTTCATAAAAAAGTGTCATTGAATTTTTCAGTCAATTCTATCAGCACATCCGCCGATAAAATTAAGACTGCATATATACAGTGATCTAAAAATATTCGTGTAAATTCACGAAAAGTGACACAGCTCAATTCACGCAGATCTCATTAAATCTCAGTGAATTGTAGGTCCAAGCCGAAAACACCTTCAAACAACAGATAAGGAAGGCTAAACAACTTATAAAATAGAAATATACGATATTTTCTTCATAATTAAACAATTGCTTATATTGCAAAACCAAAGAGTCATATTTTACAATATGTATGACGTCTCCGGCATGTGCTCTCTTTGTTTATTTGATTTGATTGCAATACTCTTGTGTTTCGCTCTTTGAACTCTGTTTACACGAAACCCTCCGTTCCAACTTCAACAATATCGTTATTTGTACCGACTAATACAGTAAAGTCACGATATTCTTGAAGTTGGAGGGAAGATTTCAAGCAGGTCAGTAATTTGAGCACTTACAAAGCTTTATTCTGCCGATAGATAATCCTGGAAGACGATATTTTCTATCTATGTGGCGGAAGGCTGGGTTTGAGACACATACTACCACTGGAAAGCCTATCTCAGCTCCATTTGTGAAACAAGCATGCCGCTTTGTCTTCATTGGGGATAATTGCGTCCCCCACTTGGGTGCCATATTATATCTATAAATTTAATTAAAATTCAATAATATTAAGATTATTGACATTAATGACATTGTTTTCCACATGTAAAACATTACATTTTTTCTTCTAATTAATTTAAAGAGTATTTTATATGGTAAAATGCAAATGTGTCCTTTTTAAAAATAATTATTATTAATGTCGGACGACGACATTGATCAAAAGGAATACAGCAAATTGCGAAGCATCTACAAATACTATATTGATTCATACAATGCTTTGTATCAACTAAAAACGGAAAAAGAAGAAGAATTAAACGAGATATACAAAATGATCAAAACAGAATTGCTTGATTCAAAGAAACATCTGGCTCGAAATGTTATAAAAGACATTTTAAATTTCATTCCGTATAACAATCGCTATACAAAGTCGTATTTATACCTTACCAAACTCATATCCGATGATTACCATGTCAAAGATATCAACGACGTTCCAACTATTTCAAACTTTCTGTTTTATAAAGAATATGGAATTAAATTAGACGAATCTGGTGATTTCGACGATATTGATACAGAAAATCTGGATATTCATACAGAAAATACAATATACAGAGCAATTATGTATAATGATTTAGAAAAATTCATTGCATTCACAGCAAGCGAAGAATTTGATAACGACCAAAGACTTGAAAGCGATTTTTATCCAGATTCTAAGAAAGGATATTCATTACTTGAATTATGTTGTTACCATGGAGCTGTTGACTGTTTCAAGTTCTTAAGAACAAAATTTAACTCAGAAATAACTAAAAAATGTCTGCAATTTTCATTTTTAGGAGGAAATCCAGAGATCATGAGTGAATGTTTGAAATCTCAAGAACCAGGCAAAAAATGCATGAAATATGCAATTATTTCACACAACATTGATTTTGTTACATTCTTGATGAATGAATATGATATGAAAATCGATTTATATGATTGCGGAAATTACAACAATCTTGAAGCATTTTTTGTTAAATTCGATCAAAATTTCGATCAAGATTCTCTTTCCAGTATCAATTCTTACTTTATTAAATCTGCTATATTTGCTATTCCATCTCTTTGTGAATATTTCATTTCACAAGGTGCAAATATCAATGAAGAGAACTATGAAGGAAAAACCGCTCTTTTTTATGCATCAGAAAAAAACAGTAAAGAAATGGCCGAACTTCTTCTTTCACATGGTGCAAATGTCAATGCAAAAAAGATGGGTAAATGGACTGCACTTCATTATGCATTAGAAAATAATAGTAAAGAAACAGCTGAGCTTCTTATTTCACATGGTGCTAAAATCAATGCAAAAACTGAATCTGGTGTAAGCCCTCTTTATTTTGCAGTACGAGATAATTATAAAGAAATGGTCGAGTTTCTACTTTCACACGGTGCAAAAGCTAATGAAACAGAATTTTATGGAGATACTCTATTTCATTATGCTACAGGACAGAATTATAAAGAAATAGTCAAAGTAATTCTTTCACATGGTCAAAATATCAATGAAAGAAATGAATATGGAAAAACCGCTCTTCATATTGCAGCAGAAAATAATTATAAAGAAATAACCGAACTTCTTCTTTCACATGGTGCAAAGGTCAATATAACAGATTATAATGGATGTACTCCACTTCATATTGCTGCAATTGAAAATAGTAAAGAAACAGCCGAATTTCTTATTTCACATGATGCAAATGTCAATGCAAAAGACGATGATGGATGTACGTCACTTTATTATGCTGAAGAAAATGAAAATAAAGAAACAGCCGAAGTTCTTATTTCACATGGTGCAAAAATATAACGTTCCATCATAAGATGCTTTTTTTTGACATTTGTAAATTCTAAATTGAATGAGAAAAATGAAATAATACTAAGCATAATACAATATTCTAGATTTAATTATAATTAGGAAAAAGTTAGTTTTGAGAGTACTTTTCATAGGCATATAGAATGAAATCTTCTGAAAAATAATATCACATAAACTCATATTATTTTCTAATATATATGTAATGCATGAAAAATAGCGTGACTTCATTTTTGACAGTTTACAAATGTAAAGTGTTGCATCCTTAAAAACTTGGAAATATATACATTCATGAATTATCTTGTATATTAATTGAAGTTAGTATCCCTAAGTTGGGTAATGTGGCACTGCGCGCCTCCGTACACCACTTAGCGGTTTTGACACTTTACGAAACCGGTAACGTATATTTTACAACACAACCATAACACCAACTTAACCTTAAATATTTACAAAACCGTCTGACACATAAATGATTTCACTAATGATTTCACTAACGACTTCACTAACGACTTCACTACCGTCCTCACTAAATAAAATATAACCTTATTTTTATTTTTTTTAAATTTTTTATTTCATTACAAAGACATGTCCGACTACATTTACTATGACTCTTTCCCAGAACGTTTCCGTGAACTATTCAAAACTCAAGTAAAACTGAGGAACATGCATTTTAACAAAGACAGACCCATTGACGATGAAAGAAACCCTGAATATATTACAATCCCTTATGACGCAAAGTTCATTGCATACATTCCTTATGGACGTAGAGGAACGAAAACTATTTCAACAAAGAACAAAAATTATTTCTGGAGCGATGAAGAAAATTGCCTTATCTACATAAATGCATACTTAAATAAAGCTACATATTGTACAAAAGAAGGTTGGACTGGATTTGAGCTCTACATATACGACGACGATGGAAACAGACGTTGTGTATACCCATACGATAATATGTACCATTGTTTTCATCAAGCATTAAACGAATACATAGTCAGTAAGGGTCTCATTCCTGCTGAGTAGAAATGTTATATTTTTGTTCCCACATTTATATAAAAATAAATGATATCACCACCCGCACACGTATGAAAACATAGCACAAAAATAAATTTAGGTGAAGTGGTGAAATCTCACCTCTTTTTTCACCTCTTTTTTCACCCACTTGAATTCATTACTTTATAACTCTCTTCCTTGGTTTCTTTTTAGTTGCTTTCTTCACGTCTGTCTCCAACTTGACTGTCTTTCTTCTTCGTCCGTAATGATACCAGTTACTTCCACCAGTCAATGGGTCAAATGGTCTTTCGTAAGGGTTTCCATACATTCCATAGGGACCATACGGAAGAACTACTGGTGGAGAAGAAACATTTTCTTTAGTTCCATCGACTCTATTTAAATGCATTGTTTCACCTTTCATCTGGTCATTAAAGTCTTTTGCATGTTTTGCAAACTCATCGTCCTTTCCTAAAGCATTTTCTGACTCAGTCGCAACCAAATTGGATGCTTTATTTATGAGCCCTATTTTATTTAATCTTAACTTCTTTGCAACCCAGCCTCCAATCTTTCCTTTATTTGCATCTAATGTCTTCGAAACTCTTCCTCCACTCATTTTATTTACTGCGTCATAAGCCCCAAGTGCTTTTGCTCCAAATGCTAATGCTTTTGTTCCCATTGCGCCTAAAGCTGCCCAAGCTACCATTTACACCATATTAAAATCATCTCTCTTCAATATTATCTCATAAAAGTTCTCTTTACTGGAGAAAGTCAATGAAACATAAACATTCTCATTCATAAACTTCTTTCTTATCTCATCTATACGCTTCAAAATGTCTGAACAATTGCTAACATCTTCTACAACAGTTATTTCATCATGAATGACCTTTAAAAAAGCTCATTTAATATGCTATTAAAATCATCTCAATAATGAGTCCATCCTTTCCATCTTTAGGTAGCACAACATCTTTCATTGAAGAAGGTTCGACAAGTCTTATGTTAAACTTACTGACAAAGTTTGTTATACTATAATGCTTCGGTGGCGAATACATATAGTTTGAAAGACATAATATAGATTCTTCAGCAAATTCACTTATACTGGATTTTATAACAATGTTCTCACGAGACCAAATACCACCAATTGACAATCTTGTAAGCAATCCTGCTGAACCTTCTACTGTAAATGTCGATGGTAACATTCCACGAAGGTCATCTATTGACATCGTTGAGTCACTGAATTTAAATATTTTCTTAAAGCAATCGTCATTATCTAACCATGCAATAGCTTTGAAGTTTTCATTCGAATATACATCTGCTTCATTAAATGTAAAACCTGACTTCTTTGCAGAGATGACTTTAAAATCTATTGAGTTTGTTTCAAAATTATATGCTATGCTAACTTCTGAAGGTAATGGATGCCCTTCCACAGTCAGTTGTTCTCTCACTACCGTTTGAAGCTTTGTGTTAAAAACTTTCATGTCATCTCCTGTGTCTAGGTTCACATACACAGCAACAGGAAAACTATCTTGCTTCTTTGTTTCATCATTATATCTCAAAACATTAAAGTTCTTCAATAATATTGTTCTTCCTGCTGGAATACTTCGAACCTGTCTGATTTCAATAGCTTTCTCACCTCCTACATACTCTACCCAGTGCCTTGGATATTCATAAGTATACTGACTTTCTTGAATTTTGGTTGGTTTCATCATAACGTGTTCATAGTATATCTTTATACTCTTGTCAGTTAGACTCGGTGCTATGTTCTGAATATTTCTGACTTGCATTTTTAATGGAGATAAAATGAAGCATTTAATACATGACGTAGATGAAGACATGAATGAAACTACAGACAAACTTAACTCTTCTCTTATTCTTCCTTTCAGCAAAGATTATGAATTCTGTTCAAATGGTGTGTATTTCTATTGTGGAAAGATGGGTTCAGGTAAGACATTTAACCTCATTCGTCATATACTCATAACAGAGCGTTTAGGAAACGACTCTTACTATGACCAAATCATTATATCAGCAACTTCAGACTCTATGGACTCAACAGCGAAAACATTTATGTCAAAAGTTCAAGCCTCTGTCGTTAAAGTTCCAGACAGTGAACTCATTGAATTTCTTCAACGTTACATTCAACGTAAGAGGAAATATTATGCCATCGTTGAATTTATACAGTCAGGAATGCAAAAGACTTCTGAGGAGATGGAAAGAATTATTGACAAACACCACTTACGTCAATACTCAGGAGTTTACGATATGAAACGACTGACAAACTACATTCTATCAAAACTTTCAAAATACCCCTTCAAAAAATATCCTTCAAATACTTTGTTAGTTTGCGACGACTTCGCCGGAAAAGGTTTAGTGTCAAAACCAGACTCACCATTAGCTAATATCATTACTAAAGTCAGACATTACCATTTAACTGTAGCAATACTTATGCAAACATGGAGGTTTTTAGCTTTAAACATAAAACGTCTCATAACTGACTTCGTTATCTTTCAAGGTTTCTCACGTTATGATATTGAACTCATTTGGAAACAGTCAGGTATAACATTACCTTTTGAAGAAATTTGGGAAGCATATAAGTCTCTCATCTCTCCTCGTTCATACCTTGAGATTCATATCATGACTAATACCATTAAAGTCAAAAATATTCCATGGGAACGACCAACATTGTTTTAAAGTTTAACCTTCAATTGACTGATGGTAAACAAATTCCATGCATCTCTGTCGCCATTTCTGTTAATATTTTTGCTGTCATTCATATCATCCACTTCCCATCCGTTAGCTTTTGAGGATATGTGTTAGAATAGCTGTTCTTAAATGAAGGCTTCTCTCCCTTGAGAGCATAAACTCTATAACTTTCTGCATACTTTATGTTTGAACCTCCTGAGCCATCATTGACATAAATTTTTATAGGCTTCCACCCTTTGTTCATGTTCCTGCTTCTTCCCTTAGCTCTTTTGTTCAGTAGTTCTACATCTTTATACACAGCTCCTGTCTCAGTGAATTCAACAATATTTTCATTCGTTAGCTTTACATTCAAACCCTTGTCGAGTGTATTGTTCATTTCATACATATAAAAGGTTTTTATTCTATATGAAATGAGAAGCAAATCCATCTTAGCTGGTGCCGTTAATGTTCCAATTGAACCAACATCAAATGTTGACTCACGAACGACAAACAATATTGTCATAAAGAACTATAGTTCAGAGTGTTTGAAAGAAAAAGAACCAGAACTGAAATCCGTGAATTTAAACTCAGCTTCAAACGCTAACGCTACATCAGATGTTAAGTTAGAGTATCCACCACTGGACCAAATTCTTTCAAGAGAAGCCAACGACAATCCTTACATAAATGTTCAAACAAATCCTTCAGATAACGTAGACCATTACCTTCTTCAGTTATACCAAACAATTTTACTCAAAGACGATAAGAAGCTTTTGACAAATCTTATAAGTAAGAACCAAATAATTTAACAAAGGAGGACCTTGAAAATGTTATCTCACGAATAACAGGGAAACAATGTGTCATTGACTATCTCGACCCTGAAATCGAATGCTGTGGTCAAACGCCACCATTCATGAAAATAGGTAACATCCGCATCATTGAAACACCAGGAACTACAGGAGTTGAGTTTAAGTATAAATATTCGAACGAGTATACAAAACTTTCAACAGAATATAAACTTTGCTTGAAATATGTTTTAGTAAATTAAAGCAATTTGTAATATCTATCCAAAACTTCTTCAACAGTATCGAACTCATCTTCATAATGCAAACCTAATCTTATTGACTTGGTGCAGTTTTCACTAACACAATATAGCGCTTTGCGCTCGGCGCCTTTGACGCCTTTTTCTGTTCTCTTGACTGACATAACTAACTCATTTGTTTCATCAAACAGCAACAACCAAAGTTCATGACCTAATACATAACATTCATACTTTATATTTTTAGCTCTGAGTTCTCTTGTAAGCTGTTGCATTTAATATTTTCTAAAAAGTC